AGGATCAGTCCAACTCTTTTTGCTGTGCAATATGCTGGCTGGAGACTGCAGAGATGGAAATGCCGAGGTGCTGATACTACTAGCTTCGATCATGTGGTTTCGGCATGTGCAAGAGCGCAGGAGTTGGTCCGCGTGCCTAGTTACGACGCACTAATTGTGGACCAAAAAATATAGACAATACAATGATATACAATGACTTTTACAGTGACTGCCTGAATTTCATACGTACAATATGGAATCGTCCTTACAGCCAGCCGTTTTGTGAATGACTTATTTATAGTTGATGCCTTGATGGCTCTGGAAATGAAACTCAATATTCTAGGTGGCACTGGTGGTTTCATGCTGTTTCTGTCCATGTCCATACTGAGCCTTTGGATTCCACTTTTCCACGGCTCCACAACAACCACAAGCAGACGGTGAAACCACCACAAGCAAATGCAGTACAACAACGACACAATTGCTTCCACAACAGCATTATTGATAATACATGATAATACAATAACAAGACGACTGTTTAAAGTATATTTACTAAATAGAGCTAAACAGATGGTTACTTTTTGACAGTCTCAGTGATGATCATCAGCAAAATCTGATGGGAAACGGCCAAATCTGGTGGGAAACGGCAAAATTGCGGGCCTACTATCGCTCACGCTAAATTGGGATCGTGCGGGCCAAACCCAAACTGGGATCGTACGGGCGGGCGCTCGCACAGGCCTAGCTGTTAGATGGGGCAAGTTTGTCGTGCTTAGCAAGGTTTTTCCGAATTTGCTTGTCGGGGGTCCGATTGCAAGCTTGTTGGGGGGGACTTCCCCCAGGCCTTGTCGGGATTTCAACGTCCTCTCTCTCCATCCCACATGTTTGATTGAAGTACCTTGCATCGTCCATTCCAAAGCGTCCAAAGGCACCCTGCAAAGTGCTCTTAGACACCATGCATTGTCCAAAACTCAACTTGGGCATGGCAGCTGTTGATTGGATTGTCCATGATTGTCATAATTTCAGCAGAATTGGTGTGAGGTTTGCGTGACTTGTGCAGGTAACAACAGAAGGGATGCGCATGACATGCTGTCCCCCAGGGCATGCCGCCAACTGATCCTTTGTCGTGTGTTAAACCAAATTTCCTATGCGTCCTGGCAAGGCCTATATGCATATGCATGCTCCTTCTATCCTTATACAATTGCAGAGCCTTCATACTTGTAAGATCTCGCAAGGATGTTTCTTAGAACTTTGGTACTTCAAGATGAATGGATTCAATGTTGTTTTTTTTTAAGGTGGGAAACCACTGGATTTGATGTTTGAAACTTGACTCAACCAGTCAGCCTGGCGCCATCTGGCGCCAAGCCTCGGCGCAGCTGGTGAGGCCAATCAGTGAACCTGAGTTCACGGACCTTTGACAGCCTGATAGGCCCATGCCAAGCCTGTCGATTCGGGCCCAAGCTGAACGTTTGATAAGGTTTGAACCGGAGTACCACGATTGCTACCTTTATGTTGACAAGGATATTCGCAAAGATTGGACCCATATTTATAATCAGTACACTTCGTGTGTTGAGATCGAGGTCATGGCGATGGTCTGCTTCCATCCCTCCAACCACAGATTCATTTCAAGATCCGTTCATGGCTGCAGGTGGCTGCAGCAGAAAGGGCCTTTGGCAACAGGTGCGCCTGGATTGCGATGAATTCATGGAGGACAACATCTATCAACATCTCACTGCTCTGAAGTTTGAAGGTCGCTGTGACGTAGTCTATCCGATAGCTAGAAAGCCAGACTTGCAACCAGCAGTTCTCAACAGCTGGCATTGTGAAGTGCAGAAAATTGATGAAAATTGCAGATGCACCTAGCACAGGCATTGCATGGCATTGCACAAGCTGTACAAACACGTGCATTAATACATATTAATACTACAAGTGGTCAGATTGTGCAGTTGCAGATTGTACTCGTGCAGAAATGCAGAATTATGGATTTTTCATCTCCAGCTGAAACCTACCGCAGGTTTCCAGGACTGCATCCCCATCCCTACAGCTTATCCCATTTAACCTGGAGCATTTTTTGAGATTTGAGAGGCATTGGCGCTCTTTGACAGAGCAAAGACAATGCAGCTGGCTGGGGCGGGCACCTACAACCAAGCATTGAAGGCTGCGGTTGTCTGATCAGATGGAGTTCCTTGACGTTGCCATGCCATGCGATGATGTTGAACGGACTCTGAAGATCCCAACTTTGACGTGGTATCCCACGTTTCGCACAGAGAACTTTGAACGTTTATAATTGACTAAGCTCTTGACTTTGTCCGTATGTTTCTTTTTGGAATGAACTCGTGCTCATTACGTTGTGTGGCAAAGACTAGCGTGACGAAAGTGACTTTCAATTTACACACACACACGGTCAACGTGATACAAATTGCTGGCTCATTTGATCGTTGCCCGCGAAGCACTTCAATTCAAAGATGATGCATAACATATGTGAATGATGTGCGTCAAAACTGGAACTCCGACAGACCAAGAGAGTGCATGAAAATGTTGCATCAAACAGTACAGTATCATCAATTCAGATCAGCCAGCCTTTTGAGCATTAATGAGCCAAAGTCACTCCAAATTCATCCGAGGGAAGCAAGTTTGCTGCAATCAGATGCTCTTAGGATCTCTTAGGGGTTTCAGACGGTTTCAGCTTATTTTCATTTTATTTTCATGTTCGGTTCAATGATCCACGCCTTGCATGGCTTCATCACCAGGCTTGTGCTCGAGGGAAACAGCCCAGATTGGTGTGGACCCAAGCAAGAAGTTCGGGAACTGGTGGAGAGTGCGTGGTTTCAGTAAGTAGCCTCCAAGTGGTTGGTATGATGAGATTATGGCACGTGTCACGTGTCCATGATGCATATTGTTGTTTGTATATAATATTGTTTTTAATGAATACACCAGGGAGGAATCGAATTATAGTTAATTATACAATGTTATATATTTAATTACATATATATATATATAATAATCATACTTGTTTGCTCCACCTGGCCAAACTTATGTATCTCCACCAGTGTGGATTTCTTCTGCTCTTGTAGTAGGTCTTGACCTGATCTTGCACACATTTAGGATTGTGTGTTTCCTCTATCCATCAGCTTATGCAGACATGCCATATTCATTCTACGCAGTGTCCGGTCAGCAAAATCCCATCTGCCCGAGGCAATGTTGTTGCTTGTAGACATGGATGAAGGCGGGCGAAGATGGCCATGTCAAAGATTCACAGCGCCGACGTATCACCCATATCACCCATATCACCCATATCCCTGTGTTTTTGTTAAACCCAGGGATGCCTTCAGTTATTGCATATCGGCGATATCGGCATATCAAGTTCCTGCAATTTGCAGTGATGGTGAGGGCTGGTTTCGGGATATCCTGAACCATCAGCCTATAGTATTCTCGATGCAGTAGGCCTAGGTCTCCATTGGGATGCAACTGCATCCCGCTATGTCCCACTTGAAAGTTATATCATAGTTATATCCAGCATTTCAGATATGGAAGCACCTAAAATTGAAGGAAATATCCGAAGAATAGTCTTTGTGCTTTGTGGATTTTCTTTGGCCAAAATGGGGGTGAGGCACTTGCTGCTCCTTCCGTCAGTACTTTTTCGAATCCCAAGTCGACCAATCCATTGTGGGTGACAAGGCCTACTCAAAATAATTATGGTACCCTCTGGCTATGTCAAAATAGCTATTGAAAATGGCCATTGATAGATATTGATAGTGGATTTACCCATTGAACATCGTGATTTTCCATATAGTTTTTTGTTAACGTTTACCATTTCGGGTAATTCATGATCGATCCGAATCCGGTTTTATGAATGGATTTGGTGACAACTAGTGAATCAATCCAGCTCCCCCGTCCCTGGGGACTCCCTACACGTGGCACCGTTGCTTCGCCAGATGAAAGCAGTTTGGTTCGGACCTCAGATCATGTTGGACCATGTCCCGGACCGTAAAATCTGAACACCCAAAAAAACCGAGGTATCCAAGGTATCCTTAAGGTACACAACTTGACGTTTGGCTCATTTTTTCAGATATTTTAGTATTGTGGGTTTGGAAGTGGACAACAAAATCATTTTGCGGATTGTGTCAGGTAGCGTGGGCAACTGCGTAGCATAGTGCTGATGACTAGCTGTATCAATCGTATCAATAAAGTTGTATCGTTTTGTGAAGGTTTTTGGCTGTGCATTCCTTCAACAGGCCTTTTGTCTTTACTGGAGATGTTTTGCCTCCAAACAGTTCCTGCAGTTTTCGTTTCTTCAACATGTTTCTGTATGTTTCTGTGAGCTTTGATTGGTCCTTGCAGTATATACAGTGTCTGATTTCCAGATCATTGGCACATCCCGAGTCATGGAAATCCTATATGTTTTTAAGCGTTTGACATAGGTGTCCACAGGCACCTGTCACAGGATTCTTTCATTTTTGGGCACCAAACTTGACAACTGCATACAACTGTCCAGCAAAGACCAAGTTGGGATTGAATTTGGTCTCCAGAGTAGAGTCTCCAGCTTTTCAGTTTTATTCAGGGGTGAATCCCGTGGTATTTCCACCGCACCAATTGAGGTCTCATCTGAGTCGATCACCTCTGCGATGGCAGCTTGTGCCAAGTGTACCTTCTGGGTCCAGGCCCGTCCAGACGAAGGCAGAAGATCATATCTAAAGATATTCTGAAGATATAACCGCTCAACATTGGGCCCGGTTGACTACAACATACTAATTACAACTATATATAACAATATATAACAATAACATGCAATCGACAGCATGTAAAATGAAGCATCCGAGTACAAAGTGAGAGTCGACTTGGTGACAGGGAATACACACAGCGGTGTTGATGTTAATTATGCAGATACATCTGAACTGCAATTTGAAACCTGAAGTCATAGTTGTGGGATTCATTCTTTGCAGTTTCGTTTCGGATTGTGCTTTAGAACAACTGATGAGTGTTATAAAGGTGAAATGATTGCAGGTAGGTAGTAACAGGCGAGCTTTGGCTTTAGAAATGCTTCTTGCAAATTCTTTCAAGCCAATTGCTCGCGAGCTTTCTGTCTTGCGTTTTGTTCTGATTGGTTTCTCCTTGTTTTGCTTCTCCCATGTTTGTTGATGCTGCCCTTTCTCTGCATTTCCTGCTTCCTTCGTCCCCCTCAGCATGAAGAGCGGGTCATCCTAATGCGTACGCATGCGGAAAAGAAAAGGAACACTTTCATTGCATCCAAAGAAATATATCAATCGTATTGATTCATATTATACGTATAATCATTATAATCCTCCTCAGATTTCTCTCCATCCATGACCTGAGTATCGATTGACAGGATCTATTTCTCTCCCTTCTTGTCTTTCTAAAGGCTCACCAACAGAATTGAGTCTGATTTGTTTCATCCCTTTTCCATCCTTTTCCATGCTTTTCCTGCTCACCAGCTTACATTATATATTATCAATAATCCAGTGCACAGTCACAAGTATTGTCTGCCAGGCTTTGCAGTTGCTGCTGAAACTGAAAGAGTCCCCCACTGAGATAGGCGACCAGCAAACGCAGGTGCACTAAGAGCAACCTTTCGGACTAGTTGCTGGGCATCCAAAAACCTTTCTCGTTTCTCAAGCGATGAGCATGACATACTGTGGATTTTCAGAAATCCTGCACCAGTTGATAAGTCGTTTATCACACTATTCATAAATTTCATAAGGTTTCTACCATGCTGCAGGATGTCTTCCATCCACAGTATGATTGAGACATACTGAGACCGGCACCACGTCTCTGAGGCGCCAGTTGCGTCCCAGTGCCAAGACCTACAGCGCCGCAGTGGTGCTTCTGGGTGTCGTGAAAATGGTCAGTGATGGACTGGAATGGGATATTATTTGGATATTACTTGATACCCTCTGGTAAACTAACATAGCTATGGAAAATCGACATGTGTAATGGGAAAACTCACTATTTCAATGGCCATTTTCAATAGCTATGTTAGTTTACCAGAGGGTACTATTTGTTGATGTAATAAGTCTGGATGATGATGATGATGATGGTGATGATGATGATGATGATGACGAGGAGGAGGAGGAGAAGGAGGAAGAGGACCACATTGCCATTCTATCAAACAGAGCAGAATGAACATGCTGAACCCAGATGGCCCTACAAGGCCGGGTAATGTACATCTATAATAAGTCTATATGTAAAATTGTACTGGAGAACACTATGATGTGGAATGAAGTTTGGTTTAGAAAAGCTTCAGATCTGGTCGCTTGAACCAAACGCTACTTCATCTCTTGAAGCAGTACATGTCCAGCTGCGGCCTCCAGCCGCGCTAAAAATAATTGAGTTGAATCTGAAGTACATCAACATGTATATACCGGTAACATATATCATATATCAACCATATTTTCTACCAGCCTAACCCTGCTTAGCGCCAAAAAGGTGAGAGCGTCAATCCGATAATATGCTACTGTGAGAAGTGCGGAGAAGTCAAGAGAGAATTCAATGATCTAATAGCCATTCTTTGTTGTCGAACGTCCGAAAGTGGAAGATGACCTAATTTATTGAGGCCTTAGTCTCTAGCGTTTTGTCTAACACGGTTTGAGAATCTGCTTTTTTTTATTTTATTTTTCTAAACTATCTTCCAGCTGCTCTGCACACTTTGTGGATCAACGATGATCAACGGAGCCATCAGTTTCATGGCAGGCCTCCTGCGCACGGAATGGTGGAGCTGAATGGGAAAAAGCCATTTATCTCTTGGAGGAGACCTCGACGGAGTGACTCCTTTGATGGGACCTGATCCAACATGATCCAAAATGACCCAATAACTCCCAAGATGAAGTAATGATAGTAATGCAATGTAATGCATATGTCTCTATATATCTACATATGATAAGGATATTGTTGTATATAGAGGTCGAGTTTGAAAAACTCGGTTCCGCCGTTGGGGGTAAACACTGGGTCAAGTCAGTAGAGTTAGAAGCGAGCCGGCGCCAGCCTTTGCCCTTTCCAACGCTGGGTGACATACCACCATATGGAACTGCTTCAGCAAATCACCCAGGAATAGCCATGTCATTTCGCTGAAGAATCCTCTTGGGTTTTTGATCGCTTTGAAGTTGAAGTGACGAGCAGGAATCTCTACAGCAACAGCAGAGCAATGGCGATGTTTTTGCAGCTGCGGCCTGGAACTTGATGGAACTTGATGCTACTGGGGTACACAGAGTCCAAACACCAGCTGAATCTCCATGGGGATCCATGGGGACGTTTTTTCCAGAGTGCGGTCGTGGCCCGGTGGCCCCCATCTCTGAGGTGATTGCATGTCAAAGCCGCTGGGAGCTGGTACTATCGGTTGCTTGGACTTTACATTTGAAGAAATCAATTGATGTTGGGGATATAAACACATAACATATATTTAACATATATAAATATATATATATATACATACAGTATATACATATAAACCTACTTGGTTTAGAGATGTTTTGTTTGGAGTTTTTGCAACGTGCTTTGGTGGCTTCATTTCACTCGCAGGTACTGGTTTCGATGCGAGCAGCGCGAATTGCACCAGTTGGGAGAACGCCACTGTCTCAGAATTCTGACCTAGTTGAATTGGAATACACCGGCATGAAAATATATTTAATAGTAAATGGTGCACGTTTGTGGTTGGAACTATCAATATATAAGACATAAGCGAAAACCACGTGGGTTGAATATGAACTACAGACAATATATATCTGAATATGCATTTGATGCATTTGCTAGAACTGCGTTCTCTGGGGTTTGCTTTGATCAGCTACACATCCTCTTGCAGAAGATCGTGAAAAACTAAGCAAGGTTTGCCTGTGCGGATGACTCATACGCTGTTTCAATGTCAAGACGGCCTGGAGGTATTCAGACGTTCTTCGCCTCTTTACTGCCGCGGGCAAAGCTACCGAGGTGGTCTGGAAAACTCAGCAAAGGGCAACATGGTTTTCCTTTACCTTCCAGGGTAGTACTTTAATGTACTTTAATGATCTTTAATGTACTTCACACAATTTTCAAGGATGGTGGGATTTGTTGCAACAAATCCAAGCACTATGAATGGTGGCACGATATACTTGTTCCATACCATATGCTTTGTTTCAGTGGCTCTCTCCAATAGGGTTCTTGTCTGTTTGAGTCCATAGCGCTGCCGCTCATGTGTACAACCATGAGCCTGTGCTTGATGGACAGACAGATTACAAAGGCTGTTCCTCTTGGGTCCTGTTAGGTAATCGTGCCAACTTGGCATGTGGCGCTAAGGTGAAATTTCTGGAAGAACCTCTTCAAGAATATGACCTGGGAGAGGTTACCTGAGCCAATTCCAGATATCCTACGAGTCTCAGACTGCTCTACGCATATATATATATATGACAAATGAGAAGCGTTTCTTGCAGTTGCCAGCCCATCGTGGTAAGGGGAACCTTCTTGGGCTGTCTACTTGCGCATAGATGTGACAGTCTCCTTTGTTGACAGGGCAAAGGGTAGTCTCGGACTTTGTAGGATATGGGTATGTCCCAAAAATATGGATCCCCTACTGTTTTCACTTTCACTTCAGCTGACCGCTGGAGATTAGACTAGACTTTGGATGCGGGGTCCGAATTTGTGGAACATCCCCATTTATACATTTGATAGCCAACATGTGTTTCAATCCCAGCGACATTGCTGCCTCAGCGAAAAGGGCTGCCACTTGTCGCTGACGCCTGGGGATGGCATGACCAAGTGGGTCCTCAAAGGTTGCTGCCTGCGCCCAGTGCCAACTCACTCCAGCTCTTTCAGCCGGGATTCTGGTTGCATCCTTGGTCCATTGATTTTCGTATTTTTCTTGCTACATTGTGTAGCTGCTACATCTTTTGCTTGCAGGCGCAGTAAAATGGCTCAAGGCCAGATGCATAAGTTACACGCTTAGCCTCACTCTTTCAAAGTCCCGATCCTTAGCCAAGGGATCAACTCAGCAAAATCCACAACACAGTGGCACACTGGGCATGAAGATTCCAGAAGATTAGTAACTCACCCTCAGGTGAACCCTCAGGTTGATACTCGAAATCCTCAGTGAATAGCGACCTGCCCGTGACCAGAAGGTCTCACAGTGACACCGTGACACCGTGGGCACCATGGGATTGCTGGGGGAAGCAGCTTCGTCTCATGTCAACACGCATGACGCTTAGGCTCCAGTGACCTTGGGTGAAAATGTTGCCAAGGTTTGCTACGTATGTTTTTTTGGTTTAGGCATTTGGGGAGATGTTCAAAGGCTTCGATGGCCAAACAACCTATTCCCCCCTTAGCAATAGCATGCAGCCGGCAGTGGAATGTTCAACTTTTTGAGGTGGCTGGCGGACAAGACTGCCAAGAGCAAAAGCAGCTCCTGCGCGGGGGGACCCGGCGGACAAGAGCTGCAACTGAAGCAGGTGGCGTTTTACAGTTGGTCAACATGACTTGTATTCCATGGGTCTTTAGTGACACAGTATACAGTATCTATCTATACAGACTTATATATGTGTATAGATATATTACATAGATATATTTTTATGTATGTTATATATATATGTTATATACATATATATAACATGTATATATAATATATATATATGTTACATATATATATATATTATACACATACACACATATATATATATATAATATACAGCAGATACATATGGAAAGAGGCAGTTTTTGTAACAATAATGGAAGTACTTGAACACATTCGATGAACTTGGCTTGAACTTCAGTGCTGTCAAAGCTCCCTGTGCAAGCTGGAGTCAAACGGAAGTGACAACGTAACCTAACTTCTTTCAAGGATGTAAGATATGATATGGCTCTCTCTTCCTTGGTCCTTTATTATTTTATTAATTTAGCATCTCATAGCCTATCATATCGTATATATTTCTTAGGTTATGTTTTTGCTATTTTCATTCTATCTTTGGATGTGTTTTTCCTTGTCATTTATTGGTCTTATGTTGGAGGTTCATTTCTTTCAATTGATCTGTCGGTTCACATATTATTCTCTGTTCTTTGTTTTTGTCTTTGTTGTCTTTGTTGTCTTGGTTGTCTTGGTTGTCTTGGTTGTCTTGGTTGTCTTGGTTGTCTTGGTTGTCTTGGTTGTTGTGGTTGTTGTGGTTGTTGTTGTTGTGGTTGTGGTTGTTGTTATTGTTGCTGTTGCTGTTGATGTTGTCTTTGTTGTTGTCGTTGTTGTTGTCGTTGTCGTTGTCGTTGTCGTTGCCGTTGTTGCTGTTGCTGTTGCTGTTGCTGTTGTTGTTGTTGTTGTTGTTGTTGTTGTAACAACAACAAAACCCATAGCAAAGTAAATTGTCCACTTGAAAAAGTCACACATGATGCTGAAATTATACATTTCGGTTCCGGTGTTGAAAACTGCTTGACAGGTCTATAGAAGTACTTGCATTTCCTGTTGTTTCAACACGATATCATTTAAATTGAAATACGTTTATACGAAAAAGAACAATCTCATTCACAACTACAAATGCGGTTGGAATGCTGTGAGCGCACTTTCCCTCACTTTCGGAGCTTGAACCCATTTCCGACGTATCCCCTAATCCTCCTCCTTGTTCTCAAGGCACTTCGCCATCCTGCTACTGGGGAGGCAGCCGGCGTTTGGTGAAAGTATCTGCTTGCGTCCAGAGGAAATTAGTAGAAATCAGATGTACACATTGTGTCCTTCTGTGGGGGGGTTGAGTCACTTGGTACTGCATTGAATTTTAAAACGCCCGTTTGAACGATTTGGAGTTTGAATTCGGATTTCTACAGTAGACTCAGCAGAACGAAGTGTTGGAACTTGCTGTGGGCTGTGAGGTGATGAACAGCATAAATCCCAAGAGTTTTCTGATTAGATCCGTTCCCAAATGAATTCCGAATGCCAAAATCAGTTGGGACACCTAAAAACCATCCTCCACCAGGATGTAGGCACCTGCGATAGGAAGATGATATGCTACTGCTAATGATATGTGTACGTTTCTAGAACAAGCCAATAAATGGATTGTTCATTGATTGTTTCAGGAACGAATCAACACGCATAGATAAGAAGTGCAGGATCCCAGCGTCCAAACAAATCTCACCCTTTCACATCCAGTGCGACTCCATCTGTTGGATCATTTGGATTATCCAGGCAGCTCCTGTGGGTGACAGATACAACCGAGAGCCGATCCCAGATGAGGACATCCGTTGGCTCCCTGATTTCCGTGAAGAAATCATGAAGATATGAAGATGTTTTAATATGCCAATGACAATGATGAAACATGATGAAACATCATTCATCAACATGATGTAAGATGATTAAGATGATGCACAGATTCTTTTTTGCCACAGCATGCCACGGGTTTGCGTTTGCAGATTTATGTTCAATATGTTTCAGACTTACCATCTGGTTATTTAACATAGCCATGGAAAATCACCATCTTTAATAGGTAAACCATCTATAAATGGGCCGTCTATACCATGGCTATGTTAAATAACCAGATGATACATGGTACTTACATGTGGCTTCAGCATCAGGACTGGTGGCTCAGGGGTAACAACCGCTCAAAGGCCTGGCGGTTTGAACACCGGCCAGAGGACCATTGGGGGTGAAGAGAAATATGTGCTTTAGGACTGCATGATATTTTTTTAAAAAAAATGTGTGGTCTGGCACATGGCTTCTCAATCGGATCTCGCTTCTTCATCTTGCCAGTTGAGTCTTGGAGTTTCCGCTAATGGATGCTTTGGTAGATCCTGGTAATGTAGGTATCAGACGATATCAGATTCTGTATGAGAAAATAAGAAATTGGTTGGAGTATGTTGGAAGTCACCAATGAAATCGTTTGATTTCCCCCTACTCGCAGTGTTTTCGTCTTCGGCGTGCAGCTCTTAACCACAGCGCCGTTCACCTTCTACGATGGCAACCCCTTGGCCAAGAAGCACTTCCAGGCCATTGTCTCTTCGCATCTCTTTGCATATCCGTGATATCCATTGTTTTCTTCAGCCCACCTGGCAATTGAGTTTCACTCCGGTGATACTATCTGATAGGCACAATGTGTTGGGCCGGAGCATTCTCGTCGAGTGCCCGAACCCCAAGAAGTGCATTGTGTGCTTTGGCTGTTGCAACACTTTGGCATGAGAAACCCACACATAGTTGTCATTGCATTGTGTCTTGTGTCCCGTAGAAGACTCCGTGGTGTGACTGGAAGTCACCACTCACCACTCCGAGACCACTCCTGGTGCTGAGGGCACAGCAATTGGGTCGGATTGGCCACAGCTTCTCAGAATCAAACATGCAAGTGTTGAAGGAGGACATCAAAGTTGGAACACCCTGGGGCCTGGAATCATTTTCACGTCATCGTTCCAAGAACTCTGTGGGATGGGCCTAAAAGTCTCAACACATCAGCAAACATCCAAAGCTCCATGTCCCCAAAACTTGATATCTTACTGGGTGATTTGAGCAACACGGTGGGAAACACCCCCATGAATATCCCATTTTTTTATCCATCATTCGCGTGCAGGACCCCATGGCACGGCGGTACATGTCGAAGAGATATGCTGAGCTGATGCGTCCCTCGGACCGTCCCTCGGACTCCAAGTCTTCGACACGGCCTGCAGCTTCTGCAGCAGCCACGACGGGACCGGGACCGGCCGGGCCGGTGCTACCAGCGGCGACGATGACGGCAGTGAAATTTCCAAAAGCAGAGCTGGGATCTTAGTACCGTAAGGATCCGTAAGGATGGTGGGTGCTGGAAATATGATGTTCCCATATGTTCAGCAGATCACAGATCTGACCATTCAAGGATATTCAAGGCAACAATGTTCAATGGAATCAATGGATACAGTAACGGGTGGTTTCCGAACCATCCCAAGTCTTGAAGTCTTGGCGACAGGATAGGATTCCTCTCTCAAGAATTGGTGTTTGTTCAACCTAATTGTAACGATAATTAATATACAAGACTAATTTGCATGATTTGAGCTTTGATTTTAGAGTTGAAAGATCGGCCACACTGCACACGGTTCTTGGTGTCCTTCATTGATGTAACGAGGCCAAATTATCCCTTATATATATACAATATGTGTATATATATATTAGCAAACTCCAACAACTCAATCACTGCTATACATTGCTCCTTTTGAAAATCCCCACAGGCTACGCAGAACCATGGATGGTCGAAGCATTATTGTGCTGCCAGCGACCCAGTGTGCTTTCTGTTGTCCAGGAATCCACAGTGACCACAGAGAGAGGTGACGAGAGTTCACCATTGTGCTGTTACAATTTCCTGCAATCACTGGGTCACTGCTGCAAGGACTAGATGGACATGTTTAGATTGTTTAGAGCCTAGTGGTCAAATTGAGTCAAATGCTATGACAATTTCACATATTTCACACATCAGCTCTCGTGATTCAATCGGGGTGCCAGGTCCATAGGATCACTGTGGGGCGATTGCTACAGCCCCTGCTACCGTGCCGAGGCCCAATCCACGCTTGCCGCGTGGACAAGCAGGGGGCTAAGCGGCTAAGCGACACCATGAAGCGTATGTCAATTATGAAGCAGTTGAAACAAAGAGTCAATGCCTACGTGTTTGTTTGATTTTGTTTGGATCTATTTATGACATGCCTACGTGTCACTGCAGTGGCAACGACGGTTGGCTGCTCAAATAAGATGCTTCGCAGTGGTTCCCACTGCATTGACAGACATGTTTTTGATTGACATTTAAGAAATCAAGGCATTATGAACTGGACATCCCCACATGTGCAAATCCAGACTGAATATAGAGACATCTACAATTTGAAATGCAATAGATGATGTTTGCTCAGTCAATCGGATTTCAAGTTCATCAAGATGTGAATATATAGAGATGATTCATGGAAATTATATAAAGAGATGGTATAGAGATGACATATATATATATATATTATATAGATATATATTATATATATAGATGGTTCATGGCTCTGGTGTATGTGTACCTACACTAATATACCATTCGTTCTCCTGTGACATCCCGAAGCGCCACAGGAGTCCATGGACATCCACAGTCCGAGTCCACCCATCTTGGGGCGACCCAAGTCGCATCCTGAGAGTGTCCTAAAATCCTGTCCTTATTTTTGATGGCAGAAATCATAAATATCCATATTTTTATTGATATTTATTGCTGGTTGGTGGTTTATATGTTGATATTTATTGATATTTATTTAATCTGGTTGCTGGTTTGGAACATTTGGATGATTTTTCCATTCAGTTGGGAATGTCATCATCGCAACTGACTTTCACTCCATCATTTTTCAGAGGGGTAGGTCAACCACCAAGCAGCTATTGGTTATTGTACGTTATGATTGTTTCTCAGAAACACGATGACATTGAATTGATGGGGGTCAACCTGGTCAACCTCTCCTGTTTTGGTCATGCATCTTCGGTTTTTGTCAAAGACAAGCCTCCGTTGTTGGAAGACTAACATAGACTTACTGTATATGAGTGAACAGACCAAACATGCCATGATGGAATCATATGGAATCCAAACATGGATCAATGGGACACTTTGTGCAGCAACAAGAGCAACAAAACAGGTGATATTGTACAAGCCATATCCAACACAGTCACATTTGACATGATTGGTTCCTCAGGCACTTGTTCAAAATCCCTCGAAGCAGCGCATGATTCTGTCCAAACGACACTAACCAACAAGCTTCAACTCCTGAAAATCTTCTGACAAAGATTAGAGTATCCCATAGGATCCATGTATGCTATATATGGTAACATTTACCATCAATATACCCCAAATGTTAGCATATATACCATACATGGATCCTATGGGGTATTAGAGAAACATGAGAAACCCGGATGGTTTATGGTGGCGAATTTTGTCAGCCAAGGTTCAACTACACCTTTGACTATGCAGGGGAACGGTTGGCCATGTAGTTTTTCAGGGATCCCAAGGGATTTGAAGGGGATCGCGCCTGTTTCACCGAGTCGTCAGAGTGAAGACGGGGACCCTGTGAAGCAGGGTCAAGCTCTGTGACTGAAGCAACTCGATGTGGCCCCAGGATGATGAGGATGATGAGTACCCAATGCTGGATGGATAGCGTTTACAATCTCTATGGTTGAAGCATTCAGGAGGCTCACCAGTGGGGGAAAGTTGGGAACATCATGCAAAATCTATGTCAGGACTAACCAAGAGCACCAAGAAAGAATCCAAAAGTAATTGATGTGCGCAAATTCCCCTTTTTTCTGACCTACATCAGCTGGGATGTCAATAAGTTAGGTTGCAATAGGCAATAGGTCGTAAGTTGGTGGCACCACCGGGTCTTTTGCGGGGCTGCTGGGTCCGGTGCCGCTAGCCTCACCCTCCACGTGATCGCAATTTGAGTGCGAAAAAATTGGCAAACCATGATGGGTGCGTGTGCAGGGCAGTTGAGATATGCTGTTTGAATGTCCTGAAGCTGAGTATTTGGGAGAGAGGTTTTCCACTTTGGCCTGAACATCCTCAAAAAATGCTCTGGCGCGTTTATTGAACATCAACAAATCGCCTTGTGATTTTGGCCTGCAGCAACCACCACCAACAACCCCCACCACGGATCCAACGCTTTCACGGGGTCACAACCCCGCTTTGCCCCATTTCTTTGCCGCACGCGGGGCTCTCAGATGTTTTTCTGGGCGAAGATGCGAAGCCAAAGGGACGAGGACAATCTCAGGTGTATTAACTATAGTGTTTACCTGGGATTAAGAACCATACCTTAGATTATAAATGGGCACCGGAACATATCAGAGTTTGGCATTGCCGAACATTGCCTAGTGAAAAACAATTAATTACTAAAAGCAAAACAGTGTTGCTGAAGAAAGTGTCTATAATATAATTGAAAACGAAACAACACGAATACATGTCTAATATGTTTAAAAGGAAAAAACATCACCCCGAAGTTGGCCTATTTTAGTCACAAGTGTTGATGATTACCGCCTGCGACGATGGCTTACTTTGTTCACGGGGGTTTTACCAGTCCCATGTTACATCATTAGATTTTATATGATTTTATGATCTTGTATGATTATATATTAAGGAATTATTCAGGTATTTTTGCTGAGCATTTGTCATTCCTATGTTAACTTCATGTACCTGCTATCCTCCAGGTGTGGTGTTACGGTAAATTGAAAGTGGCCAACATCTCCATACTGAGCAAACTGCGCGGGTTATGTGTTTTGCAGGCTGTGATTGTACATCATGAACTAGAAAGAACTATGGTTGTTCCAAAAAAAGTTGAATGAGCTATGGGACCTCAGATTCTTCAAATTGTGATTGTTGAATGTGTTGTCTCGTTTATATGGACCAACACGCACGTAAGGCTGCTAATTTTCAGTGAAGGCAGTCGCAATGGTCTGCAGCCCAGTTGCTTTCGTTTGGGTGCCGTGAGCTTCAGGCAGTGAAAGCCAAGCACTTGTTCACTGATTTGCCTGTTCAGTCTGGAATGTTAGCAAATTCGTGCTTACCCGCTGTCCGATTCGACTCTTCTTTGAACTATTCGGCATACAATACTTCGATAGACTTGGCAGGCATTCTGGGTGCATTTGTTCACACAAAGCTACAAGTTTGACTAGGAACCACTGGTCAGCCCGAATTGATTCCACCCAGTGGTTGAGGATAAGCCCCTTCCCATGCTTTGTTGGCGATCCTCACGTCAGGCCCCTTTGGGCAGAATTTCAAAGAAATTATGCGCACCAGCATAGGCCACACAAAAGTAAAAGAGGATACAACACTATTTTTCGGTTTTTCCACTTCAATCATGTTTCAGCCCTGCACAGCTGGGTTGCTCAGGCCCTTTCACTCACTCGAGGGCTTCTCCGGCCCAGAGGCTGGGATGATGGGGGATGCTGCTCGGTTTTGACATGGACACTTTGAACATCTTTGAACGATGCTTCTTCTGGATTTTAACCGATAATTTTTGGAGACGTTTGACATCAGGATGCCAGGTATTGCCAGGTTCTTGGAACTTGTGGACACTATCAATAAGTCAAGGAGTTTTAGTGCCCAATGTGCAGTCACCATTTTGTGTCACTCGCGAAGCCAAAAACCCATGCCCGTGGTTTTCCCATTTCAATCGTACTTTATGCCAGTTTATTTGTGTGTGTTGCTGCTATGTTTTCAAAAGTGGCCAAACAATGCGCTGCAGTGTTGCGCAGCGTCTCTTGCCAGGCGTGCGAAGTTTTGCCGTGGGCGTGATGCTGGCATCGTTTTACTGCATGCATCCTGTCTGTGGACTATGAGATCAAGGGACGTGTCTCACAATGACACTTGACAGACCTAATTTGAAGCAGAAATATTGTGGTTTTGATGTTAAAGCAACATGAAACTGGCAAGTTGATTAAGTAGAGTCACATAGAGTCACATAGATTCACGAAGTAGAGGGCTGGGGATCTTGGGGCATGGCCAGGTCTACACTCGCACCAAACCACACATGAACATTGGAACCATTGGCCACGTCGATCACGGAAGCTTGGAAAATACCATGGAAAACGACGTTGTCTTTCAAGATTTTCCAATCAACTAGCAACTAGTATTTTTTAATGTGTTCATGCTCAATTGTTTTTCCTGCTTTTGGATATTGAATCTGAGATTAGATGCTCTCACACGAATTCATGGTACTGGATTTTGAAAGGTCAGGGGCTCTCTGCCTTGTCAGTACTCAAGAAGATGGCAAAATATGACAAAATTTGATATAACTTACAACATCTTACAACATCTTACAACATTGAATTCAGGGATCCCTGTGGATGTTCGATTTGTTCATGGATAGCTGCAGTGCACTGAAGTCCCAGGAAAAACCACACTCACTGCTGCTATCACAAAGGTGGAGCGCTGTGGTCATGAGTCAGTCAAGACTTCGAGATTTTAGCTGGTTGGTGGTTTGGAACATTTTTTATTTTCCCCAATAGTTGGGATGATGATCCAATCTGACTAATATTTTTCAGAGGGGTTGAAACCACCAACCAGTTAGCCTTGGAGCGTCATTAGTATGAAAGAGAAGGTTGAGCGTCATGTTGCAACACGTTGCTGCCACACAGCCACTTGCAGGGCCTCAGAAAAGCTGCCTGTGGGTCTTGTTTCTTTTGGTTGCTTTCTACTACTTACAGTAACTGTAATCGATCAAACTGTGCAAGTTTGTTTTCATGGGATTTGCATCTACAGGATATTGCAGTAACTATTGCTGCCTGGGCGGTGAGTTTAACCGTTTAACCTCGGCGATTCAAACGGGTACATTCATCTGGGTACAGGTTATGGCTGATGAAGGACGCGCGGAGTTCAAAGCCTACGACGCCATTGACAAGGCACCCTCTCTGCGGACAACGGTGGGCCGAGGGGCAAACCGTTTGCCCAGTGTACGGAACATGACAAACCAGACATAACCAGACTATAAAGATACTATAAAGATACTATATACTTTCTATATACTTTCTTACAGTTTCAATAAAGATGTTATTATTGGGAACCAGCCTCAAGTCGTGTTTGTTCGTTTCGCTTTTTTGACCTTTCCAAGTACCAATTGTGGGATGATACTGTTGATACTTGTTTGTTGGCAAAGCAGACAGTCACGGTGTTCTTTTGGAAAAGATTCGACCAGTCCACCGTCAATTTGTGCACAGTAGTGCGTAGCGATGGAGTTTGCCCATGGCTGGGCTTACCAAAAGAATCCAGCGATTGATGTTCAAGTACATTTAAGTTGGAACCATAGTACGCATGATAGATCCGTATCATTTCACACGATACTGCTATAGTCTATAGTATATACCTTTGCATACTACAAAATACTACAGGGGATAGTCATCAAATCTGTATTCGCTATGGACTGTGTAGAAAAACATATTTTTCCCCATCCACTCCCATCGGTTGTCTTCTACTGAATGTGACTCTCCACCGACTGAGCTACGAAAGGCGCCTGAAGAGAAGAAACGCAGGCGCCTTAGATTCAGGCCAACGATTCAGCCTTGAAAAAAGGTCTTGCAAGCCTGGAAAATCTGGGACATTAACCAACATGAATAAGATAAAGACAGAGATGATTCTGTCTTAGAAAAAGATTTTGGATTGGTACTTCCCCTGCTAAATGGACCAAAATAACCCAGCAAGTCATCCATGTGCTACTAACGGGATCCGAACTGATCCAACTGTGGATGTAACAACAGATGGCATTTTTTAGCACGTCGAAATGTCGTCTCAACATGTTCAACTGTCACCAAATGGCACACGGTGACACACAACTGCTGTGCTATAAATAACTGATCCGCAGACGGGAAAGAGCTCTTAGTGAATGAATGTTTGATAATGTTTGAATGTTTCTCTTGTTGTATCTCTTGGGGACAATTTGGCGACGAGCTTCATCATGCAGAATTTGATAGTCAAACAACTTCATCTCAACACTATTACATCACTGAAAAGGTGGAAAGTCTCGACCAAAGCAGAAATGTGAATGTGCAGCAATGTCTATCCATGTAGAATTGCATACATACTATATTACAATATTATATTATATTATATTGTATTATATTATATTATATTGTACTATACTATATTATATTGTATTATATTATATTATATTATATTCTATTATATTGTATTATATTATATTATATACGTATATTATGCAAATAATATTATGCAAATAATATTATGCAAATAATATTATGCAAATAATATTATGCATATAATATTATGTGTAAATATACGTGTATATATATATACATATATATGTTCACTTACGCTAAAATGTGCTGAGATCTCGCAAATGACCTGGCACCTTTGCATGGCACTTCCAAGATTGAGGTGGTATCACCATCAACCAGTCTCACGTCGAGTACGAGACTGACAAGAGGCATTACGGCCACGTCGACTGCCAGAAGCTTTGGATGCTCAGGGCACGTCCGCTCCAGTTGGCTCCAGTTGCTACTTGTGACTCCAGAGTGACGGGTCATGGATTTTTGAAGCACACTCTGAGATACTCTGAGGTCCTGGTCACGCAGACTATGTGAAGAACATGATCACAGGGGTTTCTCGGCTGGTTTTTGGTGATTCCACCGTCAGCTCTTCGTCGGTTGACTGTCACGATGTGTCCGATTCCACTGAGGCAGCCCAGATGGATGGTGCCATCCTGGTGGTCTCAGGCCAGTGTGACCGGCCATCCGAAGTCCAGCCGGATAGGCCATCCCGAAGTCCTCCCGAAGTCGCCAGGCTATGATGGTCCTATGCCACAGACACGGGAGCACATCCTGTTGTCCCGGCAGGTTGGTGTGTTCCGGCACTCAGGGGATTCCAGCTTGATGCGAAAAAAACTGCCAGTTCCAAGTTGGGGATGTTGGAGAGCTGTATTTGGGAAAGATGAAGGTTATGGTGGTCATGGTTGTGCTTCCTCCATTTCGGCTCAATTGGACAAGCTTCATTTGTCATGAGAGTGGCCTTATCGAGCTTTTGCAGCACAGACCTGTCAAGCGTAAGCACCATCCACTTCCAATGTGCATTTGATCAAGCGGCAGTTGCCCTCCAACTGGCCTGGTTCTTGATCTCAGCAAAAATTGGGGTAGTGGGGTTATAGCCATATCACAATCATTATCCCATATCCATAGATTTTGGGAATACCTTCTGACAATTATGGACCCAAAAGAAGCACCAAAAAATTGGCGCATCCGATCCAAACTACTTGGACATGGCCTTGCGCTTATCCTTTGTAGTGCAATATTCCAGGCCGGGAGTTCAGTGATGGAATCAGCCTCTATAATTTGGACCAAGCAACACTTCAGAACCGACTTATGGCCGATTACTATATGGATCTATATGGAAGTTTGTAAAAACCCCGCGCCTATTCGTTTAGTCTTCCATGATCCCCCATGAGCCATTTTTAGCTTTCACTCGAAAAAACGATAAGAGGAAAAAAAACGATAACGTTGGTTATGTTAATGATCTGTATCCAGACTCTTGAAATCCAAAGTTTTTAATTTTTCCATCATTCTGCGGCTATTTAGTGCTTTTGGTCTCTTCCTTTCATTGTTTGTTGTTGTAATGGCGCAAATTCTGCGCAAGGAAGGTGCCTGGTAGGTGGTCGCTACACTCCTTTTTTGATGATTGCAGCCATTTCCAGAAAAAAAAAGAAACACAGGCTTCACGAACGATAACAAAACGACAACGAAAACGATAACTTTGGGCATCAAAAATGGTCCGTGTGAGACACTGCCTTTTTTTCCCCTTTTCCTCTCCCTTTCCTTTCCTTTTTCCTGTCTCTTCCTTTACTCTTCCTTTTCCTTCTCCTTTCCTTTTTCCTGTCCTTTTTCCTTTCCTTTTTTCCTGTCCTTTTTCGTTTCCTTTTCCGTTCCTTTTCCTTTCGTTTTTATTTCCTTTTCCTTTCGCTTTCTTTTTCCTTTTCCTTTCCCTTTCCTTTTCCTTTCCCTTTCCTTTTCCTCTCCCTTTCCTATTCTTTCCTTTCCCTTCCTTTACTATTACTATTCCTTTTCCTTTTCCCTTTCCTCGCTTATGTGAATTCTTTGATCAAGGTGTGAAGCCAGCGCTTGGAAAAACGATAAGAGGAAAAAAAGATAACGTCTGGAAAAAAACCATTTGAAAGGGCTCGGGGTTTTTACAAACCCTCATATTATATATATAATATGTCATATTATATTATCAATATATCATCATTATCATATCATCTCAAGATCTCATTTAGCAAGGGTAGGCGAAACTGTCGGCTCACTGGCCACATTCACTGCGAGGCGTGGCCGCGAACAGCTTTGGTCCTCAGAGCTTCGCTGCAGTGGCAGTAGCGATGGCCCAGAGGAGGCAGTAGAAATTCGCAAGGCCTTGGCAGAAGTGACAGGTGCGGTATGGGGTAGTGTGGGAACATGTGGGAACCACAGCACGGAAATGGATTGAGAGGTTTGCTCCACGGATTTGAAATTGTGACAACGATGACTCACTTTGTGAATCTTTGTGAAGCCTCTAAAACTGTCCAGAGTTGAATTAGTCAAATGCAATCACCATTGCCTTAGATTTGTTGGGCGAGGAGCTGAATTGACAGTTGGAATCTGTGCATGATTTTAGGAGAAACGGGTGATATTTGCAAGCTACTTGTACTGGAAGCAGTGTCAATGATACAAGTTATTGGAATATTAGAGCTGACCAGAGCTTGCAGAACATGCTTAAACTTGGAAGCCTACTTCACAACAGTAGGTGCAGAAAGTATGTAGGTTGATGTAGGTTGTGCAGAAAGAATCAATCGAGTGGGCCAATTGTGGATGATTTGGGGTCGAGGCATCCCTGCCAGCGCCATTGGCCTGAATATCTTGCCACGTCAGTGTGGTGGCCCGCAAAGCGCCGTGAAGCCGGTCTCCGGGCAAAGTGGCCTGGCGGGGTTGGATATGGTTGGATTGTTGGCTGCAATCTCCAGGGTAAACTCACAAGTCGTGACTAAGTGACTAAGTCAGGATAGAATTTATGAAATGGATTGAAATGGATGTATGATGATGTATGATGATTTGCTTGGTGTGGAGCTTGTCACAAATATTCCTGTTCGATCGTCTTTATCCCGTTCTTCGTCTCTGAGTCATGGCTGTTGAACCTGTCCATTCGTCTCCTCATCACTATCAGGTTTCCTGCTGGTTTCTTCTTTAGTGTTTTCGTTGCCTCTTCAATGTCATTGTCCAGCTTTTTTCACATCCACCGCTCCAATCTGAGGTTTACTTTCATTCCTGGAGCAAAGCTGCCGCGAAGATCATGGTGTCTTCCAGCTTCGCGCCTCCTTCGACCATCCTTCCAGCGAAGACTTCGTGCAAGTGCGTGTGGCATGTCCTGGAACTGCCCCAGCAAAGGCTGCTGCCAACAGCAGCGAGACGCAGCCACTGAGCAGATGGGGATAGCAACGGGTAACGGGTAGACATTAGTTCTGATTGGCGATACCAGAGCATTGGCAATTCCAAGAAATCACTCTGAGATGAGTGGGCAATCGACAGCTGAGATTTTGAGAACAAATGGGGTATCAACAGGCAATGGAAGGAGATTGGCGAGCCGTAACCGGTAATACCACACAGCACCGAGGTGAGTTTTGGGTTTTTACCATCCGTTGCTTGTTCACCTCACTTTCACAACTATCATGACCACAACTTGGTTACAAAGACGGGGACGCTTGGACAAATTATCCAGAATGATCCAACAAGAAGAATTGGACTCTGAAGAGATCTGAGTCTTTGTCGATTTCACGTCCAGCTGATGGTTTTTCTTCGTGCAGATTTCGCTGTTCAGGCCACCACCCATTGTCATTGAGCAATTTGAGCTGGAGAACAATAGCAACTCAGCTGAAAAATAATGATCGGACTCGCAGGTCGAGGAAGCGGCAAGTCCTAGCACATGAATGTTTTTCATACTTTTCCATGCTTTGTCAACCTGTCAACCATTGTCAACCCGATTGTCAGCACCCTTTCCTCATGTTCATGAAAATTTATGAAAATTTGATAAAATTTGATCAAGCATTGAGAACCTTAAGCGATTTTGACCCAGGCACTGTCGCAGCTTTGAAGGAACTGATCCATCAGCGAAGCAAATTCCCACTGGAGCAGATGGTGCTGCTCTTGGGCTGTAGGACTGGTGGTGTGGGAGATTGGTCCAATGATGTCCAACTTGTGTGGATTAGCTGTACTGGTACCTACGTGTGTATTGGACATGGAGGGTGGTGTTCCATATCAAATAAGGTCTGAATTTCAAGTTGCACGAGCTGGTCCATCAAATCAGAGTGCAACACTTCCTTTTTTCTCCAACAACACAGCCACGTTCAAGCTAAGAGACTGGGCGAAGACAGCGCAGGCAAGAGCAATTTATTTTGAATGCAAGCATTAGCATCACTCAATCAGATGACCTCATGTAACTCATGTATATAATGGTGGCACAAAATTATTCGGATTGTTTTTCGCAGCAAACTTAGAGACACATCCAAGAAAGCGAGGAGTCGGTCCGGAAAACGAAAGGAACGAGACACGTGGATGGAGTTTCAAAAACCAGAACTTATCAGGTGTGTAGATCTCAGGGTGTGGACAGCTGGAGAGTTCAACACTTCCAATCCTGTTGGAAGCACCAAGCAGAATCATTCCCAACCCCTAACCAGGTTCAATCAAAAACTCCTGAACACGGTACTACTAGGACATGCAGGTCCTGATCATCTAAGTTTGTCCAAGAGGAACAGCAAATTGGACAGCAACAAAATGGTTGAACTAACTTTGGCAAATCCACATCTTCCTGTTATTTCCAATTGGTGTTACTGTTGGAATTGCCAGAATCCTCCAGGAGGCTTCAGGATGAGCTGCCCATCCACCGCGTCAGTGCTGCCGCTGAAGCCTCCACCCCTGCCCTGTTACAGCTCCACCTGGCGGTGCGAGGGGCCATGGCCTTCCTTAGGCGGATCCCAGATGACCCATTGGATGCCATTGGATGACGGACGAAAAGATGGATGAAAAACTAAAACAAACTAAAATGGGGGATGACACTCCTTGTCACCGTGTTGAGAGTCTTGCATTCCAAACTTTATATTTTTCATCAATGACATTTCAATGACCATCAATGGTTCAAGAGTAGTGGCAACAAAAGGGGCAGACCGCCATGGTGATTTCATGGTGATTTAATGGGACTTAATGGGACTTAATGGTGATATCAGCAGCATGCAGCGAGGCGTGAGGGTCAAGGCCATCGGCACTCGCAGATCTCGCAGTTGGAGGAGCCGGGTGAGGTTCTCAAGCTGATCCTTCCGGAATGTGTTCCTGGTCCCTTGGCTCACCTGCAGTGAACCAGAATATGAAGGGAATCTCTGAAAAAAGAAAATCAAGGAAATTGATGGAAATTGTAAGTTAACACTATACTTAGTTATATATTGTTGTACCATAATCCCAAAACTGGGAATTCCCTTTTTTGACCAACCCTTTTTCGATGATGGCGCTGTGCTCTCAACGGGATTTCAGCGCCGAGGCCGTGATCGCTTCGATCGCTTGCCGTTGACTCTGGAGCAATCTGTCAGCGACCTTCGCTGGGCCGTGCAATCGGTCAGCGGCCTCTCTCCCGCCAGGATGAGGTTAGGGAAACCATGGGGAAACCATTTTGGGACAACTCCATTGGTTTTGACAATTCAAATTGATCTAACATGATCTAACTGGATTCTGTCATGGTTTTCCTTGCCTTAGATATCCTTAGATCTTTTCTTGCTTTGTCAACTCAAGAACATGAACACAAGAAGTTCAAGGCCGCCCGGTGGCATCAGCTGGCATCCATCCAAAGGCTTTTCTCCAGCTGAGGCTTATCCTCCTTTGTTGGTAGTTATTTCTTTTCAATGAAATCGTAAACTTGTTGAGCCTGAGAGCTATCTCAGATTAGCATTTGCTTGCCTTATGCGGGCTCGACAGGCTTTTGCTTGATGGAGAAACGGACTTGTCTACGGCAGATGCTTGGAATGCATCAGCAGGGGCTGATGTTTTTCAAGCAGACCCCAATTTGGAGTTGCCAAGTATATTGAGAAGTTTGAGAAAAGGCGCGTTTTTCTTTGTGATTACTGTATTGCCTTGACCTTAAGGCATTATTAAGGCATGGCAATGAGAGATGGCCACTCGTTCTAGTGACTCTAGTGGTCAGGTATCCATTCACTCAAAGGATCATGTATGCGAAGTTAAAATGTAGGCAGGGACGATGTTTAACCAATTCTCGCAGCTGATTCAATAGCCTTTCAAATCAGCTACCACAATCAAAAGGTGCCCCTACAGCATCGCAGCTAGGACGAGTCCAGCACCCTCAGCAACCTGGGCTTCGAAGATGGATCGACGTTGGTGGTGGAACAAAGTGCTGCTGGTGCTGCCCTGCGTGATGTGGACATGCCGGTGGATATTCCTGCCACAGGATGTGCCAATGCAGTCACTCTCCGTCAATGTCGTGGTCAGGTGTAACGGGTCGTTTTTTCTGGCTCAACGATGGAGCATGTAGTGGAGCCTATAGATTCTCAACATTTCTCAACGATTCTGATGGTAGATTCTTAGATGTTGAGTCATGTTGAGTCACATGCTTGTCAGTTTTGTTTTGGAGGATCTCCCTGCAGCAATACTATCACAAGTCATGTTCAAACTCCCCATATCTCCCCATAGAAGTGGAACTGGATGTGTCCCGAGTTTGGGGACCAACGTATGTATCTTCAACTTAAGAGTTGCTTGGCTGTACGGCTGTACGTATTGAAAACATGAGTAGGAGGGCCTCAAAAGTCCTTTTCGGATAGTGATGCGGTGAATTGATTCCTGGCCCTACAATGAGGCTGGGGGATAGGCTCTACATTTTTATATCCCAGATCTCTTGCATGATACAGGCATTCTTATTTTGGCTCCCGTTTTTGAAGATCATTGACATGGTTTCTTGGCCAAGATCCTACTGTTGTTGACAGCATGTGGATAATACCCCTAGATCCACTAGCAAGGTCCTTTGCATCATTGAATCGCGCTGATCCGTACTAATAGTAGCTCCCGGATTGGACGGGATCATTCAACAAATGCAGTACTGGAACATTAAGGTCTATGAGACAGCTGCAACAATGCTGGGCCTTCCAGATTCCTCCAAGCTCTCACTTTTCGCTGGATCAGAACTGATTAATCGCAATGCCAATCTCTCACTAGCGCCCATTGCAGATGGGGCAGCTTGACTCAGACAAGGCAGCACCAACCATCAAGGTCCTTTGCAAGACAATCAACTTTTCTTAGCGCAATGGCCTGACCATGTCCATTTACAGGGGATCCATTGAGCCAGGAAAGGAACATATGTGGTATCAGACTGATTATATCAGACGACGGTCCGAACACCAGGAATCTTGGGCACTGAACATAAAGCAGTGCCTGATCAGATCTGATTAGGCTCTGGCTGTCTTAGGAGCTGGTTGTGTGTTTTACCCAATGATCGTTCTGGCATTCTTTGGCCATTCGAAATGTCCTTCTGCATTCCGCAGTTAGTCAAGGTTTGCTTCTCTGTGGACGATTCTTGTGCATTTTTGTGATTGGCAACGTTTAGCCTGTTGGAGTTTGGAGTTTGGAGTTTCTGTCAGCGAATTGGAAAAGTTGGCACAGAGCAATTCTGAGGTAATCCTGTCTGCGTACATCAATTCGCCGTTGCAATTGCCTGCCTCTCGCTGTCAAGAGTCAACCTTTTGATCCTGTTTGATCTGTTTGCACTTTTGGGATGGAAGAGGTGGAAGGCCTGTTTTTGCTCGTTGCAACTACAACAGACTGCAACAGTTGGTATGATATGGTATGATATGGTATGATATGGTATGATAACACTTGAAATCTCAACATCATAGTTGTCAAGTCTTTTGAAGGATGGTTACTCTGAGGTGCATGTCCTTCAATCTGGTCTTCCGAGTGATCTTGGTTTGCCAGGAGCGAAATCAGAGGGCTGGGTACTGTGTCCTGATGGTCAATCTGGCCTGATCAACTTGATGGAACATTTGAAGAAGTTTGAAGATTTTGAAGTCAACAAAGAATTCCAAAACAAAGAACTCGTTTACCTGCAATAGAGCCATCCAGGTGTGAGATTGAAGACGTGTCGGAACCTCCATGTCGTGAAAATGCCGCTTTCCACAAATACCTGGGCGCAGATGAATGTCCCTACGTGCAGATTCCCCCTTCCCGACAAAGCTGGCAACCCAATTATTGCATGACTGTTCTGTGTCAGACTTGACAAACTGTCCCAAAAGATAAAGTATAGTTTTCATTGATAAATATTTCTGCTGCAAGCATTAGCAAATTTATCAATCATCCGAATCATCCGAGAATTTTCCATCTCTCCCAGATATCTATTTATCATATTATCATATTCATTCATATTTGAATATATTCGATATTTATGATATATATATATATATTATATTATATATATACACACATAATCCATTATAATCCTATCATATCCAATCTCAAAAACGGTTTTTGCTCCTTAGTTTCCCACCAATTTCCCCGGGGATTTTCCGATCTTCGCCGTTCCAAACGTCGAGGACACGTGGCGGTCCGCAGCTGCGACGCCGTGGCGGAGGTGCGGCAGCGGCTGCTGGGCTCGGCCGCCTCGGAGATGCGCGCAGAGACTGAGACCTGCTTGGATGCTTGGTACCAGAGTCATGTTATGATGCCTGCAGGATGGTGCCTGACTATACTATAATATATAATATATAGATAACTATATTAGTTATGTAATGTTAGGTACTATAGTGACTATACTATAATTACCATGTTATGATACCTGTAATATATATAATATAGATATGGGTATAATATATAATATATACTAGTAAGAGTCATCTATAATGACATCAGAAAATGGTATTTGAACTATACAATATATACCCTCTGGTAAACATACAAAAAACTATGGAAAGATCCACCATTTTTAATGGGGAAATCCACTATAAATATATAATATATAGATATGGGTATAATATATAGTATATAAGAGTCATCTATAATATATAGAGTACATAACCAATCACCAGTATTCAACAGTGACATTTTGACAGCTCATATACCCTCTGGTAAACTAGCATAACTATGGAGAATCACCAATTTTTAATGGGAAAATCCACTATTTCAATGGTCATTTTCAATAGCTATACGTTAAATTACCAGAGGGTATAATATATAATATATAGATATGGGTATGGATCAATACCTATGAAAATACCATTTTTAGGGGGATGAACATCCATTTACCAGCTATTTTGATGTGAACTACAGGGGTACAAGGTTTTGACACACTGCCATATATATATAATATATAGTTACTCTAATATAGTTATAGTTATGTATCATGATAAATGATGATTATTATCATTATTATTAGTTACTCATATATAGTTAAAGTTATAATTAGAGTTATAATTATAAGTGTAATTATATACAGTATATATTATATATACAATCGTGTACAATTGTACATACTCGTATGTGTGTTTTTGTTGTTGAATGCACTAATGAAGATCTAGGAATTGTATATGAATGATATTGAATGATTTATACTATATATAGTTCATATAATATATATATTATTAAATATGTTAATATATTTTAATCTCTATATACAATATTTGTGTGTTGATACGTTACATGATGAAGAATCTTATGATATGGAGATATCCCAAGTCTTGAAGCTCAAAAGCAAAGGACGCCCTGCGCCCAGGATGGCAGTTTGGCCTTCGCGGTCGAGAGTGGTGTCTGGGAACGGGAAGGAGGAGACTGTCAGTCCTTGGCATCTTTGGAGGCCGAAAAATGTCAAAATGGGGGAGTACCCTCTGGTAAATTAACATAGACCCTGGCAGATAGGGGTTGGAAGATTAGTTTCCATTAAAAATTGGTGATTTTCAGGGTCTATGTTAGTTTACCAGAGGGTATATGAGCTGTCAAAATGTCACTGTTGAATACTGTTGATAGGTTATTGGTTGGGAGGTTATTTTGCCTGGTTTATTCGGGATGAATTTTGCTGTAATCTACGTAGGCATAGCTGGGATACCTATGAACCAACCAACACAATGGGATGGGATAGGGCGGATAGGGCTAGAACCACTGGACACGACTTGGCAATGAAAAGGAACATGTCCAATCCAGATTGAAATCGCATTCCTGCAGGGCATGAAAGGGGTGCAACTCATTATGCAGCTTGTGCAAGGTCACTGAAGATTGAAAAAAAACATGGTTGAACGGTTGATCAATGACCTTTGTTCATCTTTGTTCATCTTTGTTCATCTTTGTTCAACAATTGTCGTGAACAACACAGTTCTTATGCTGATCCGGCAGTCCACAGGCACTCCTTGGTCACTTCACCCAGTGTCTCGATACTGCGCGTCTCTCACGCCTGGGAATGGCCGATGGAGGCTGCCACATGGTCTTCGTGGCACGTCGCATCTTATCCGTGGAAGTTCAAGTGCATCAAGGAGATGAATGGTTTCTTGAATATGCTTGATGACATCAGAAAATGGTATTTGAACTATACAATATTTACCCTCTGGTAAACTAACATAGCTATGGAAAATCACCTTTTTTAATGGGAAAACTCACTATAAATGGCCATTTTCAATAGCTATGTTAAATTACCAGAGGGTAGATGCTGTCCCTTTGTGTCCCTCTTTTTTGGCGGAGACAAGCAGGTTTCAGGGCCAACTGACGCCCTGTATGTTATGTGTTTCTTGCTTTGTGCCGAGATGGTCTAAGTGAGGTCGATGCAGAAGTGGTGATGACATGGAGCCTACCTAGATATCAATGGGTTTCCACCTTGGTGTCCCAAGAGCGAAAAAGACAAAAATCAATTTTGGATGAGGGAAACACATCCATCATCTTGGGAGAGTTTGTCCATTGACAATTGTTTGATGAAATGGTTTCAGACCACCAACCAGGTTAAGGTTTATTGATGTTTATTGAGCACGGGCTCCCAAGGAAATGCATATGTCCCTTGCGTGTTCCCAGCACCATGCGACTGTCGGAGCTTTCTGCCACACTGATTCGCACTCTTCGACACAGTGGACAACTGGCCGACCTTTCGCTCAGCGAGTTCGCACAGTGCCCTGGATCTTCCCAACACTTGACTTGATCATCGGTCAAAAGAATGTCAAAGATGGTGCAACTGAAATTTGACTCATGTTTTAGAGTCTTCCCCTCCATCCTCTGGAAATTTCTTTCAATACGAGCCTCTTTATAAATCCGGAAATGTACCACGAGCGGCTCGGCCCAAGGCTTCTGAGCTAGCTGTCTTTTGTCAGTTCCAAAGTCAGGTAAGATGAATCTTGCCAATCTTACCAGAGTGATATTGAGTGACTCACAGTGAATCATGGTGAATTGGCCAGTGCCCTTCGCAGTGCCGAGCGCCGGGTCCCTTGCCGAGGTGTTCTTGGCGCCCTTGGAGCCCAGAAGCCCGTTCTTCCAGCAGCCAGTCCTTCGCTGGAGGAGTAGCTGCAGTCATCTCAAAGGTGAAGAGGAAGTCCTTAGGCCGGGCCCAAGAAGTGGTTGGATCTTGGGGGTGAAACAGCATGAAAACACATGCAGCCTTTAGGGAATTTGTGCCTAGCAGTCAACAGCAAAATGATTCGCCACGTCCCATACTAACTTATCAAAGCCATCAATATGATACGGTAACCAGAGCTGAAGATGACTGGGTAGGGTTAGCTCCCAATCATGGATCATATGAGCATATCTGCTTGCATGAACATCTACTGTATGAACACATATGCTGCTGACTTGCTCATGCGACATTGGGAACAGGATCAAAACTTGAATATTGTTGGGAAGAGGGCGTCCATTTGGATTCTTTTTAGATCCTTTTCTTGGTCCTTTTTAGATCCTTTAGGTATTTTTTGGCACTTTGGATTCAAATGGCTTCAACAACATGGGCTGCGCTGTGATTAGGCTTCATCCGCTGAGGCAGCAGTCCAGAGGTGTCTCCCGAGAAGAGGGCGAGGCGCAGCTACTCCAACGTATCCAACGTAGCTTGGAAGGCTACAACTGTGTGCAACAGATCCATGTTGGATAGTGGCTGACCACTGCCTATGATAGCATCTACAACATACATGTAGTCGATATTGGTGTTTACATGTGATACTTCTGCATCCAATGCGATGCAGAGGGGGGGAGTGAATATTTATATTGATACATTACATAATATTACATATAGCCTTTTCCGATCTGCCGAATCCTGACTAATTAGGGTTCAGAAATTGTATGATGATATCTTCGTTCATAGGAAACATTGCTGGGGCTTCCATGATATCAAATGGCACTGTTTAGACTCCTTGGGACCAGAACAGTGAGGACTGGTGTTCGGTTATTTCTGATGAGTTTGTGATAGAACTACGGTTACGAAGAAATGCAGGTTCCAGTCTAGTTTTGAGGCAACATCCAGAAAATATGTAGCTGACACCTGCAATGAGTTTCCAGCACTTCAGTTTGAACTCTTGTATTGTGATGGTCCTCTTTCTACATTGTCACCATGTGTTTTTTTTGTGTGTCCGGAGTCTCTGTCTCAGAGAGTTCGAGTCTCCAGACGATTCACATTCATGGAAGTTTTAGAGCCTGATCCCATGTCGATCAAGCAAAGGACCCATTTTTGTCCACTGTCACAAGTCAAGCCGACCCACCTCCACTGGTTCTATTATTAATTGATATCATATTCGACCAGCATATTTATATTAATAATGTCCTCAAGACGTTTGAACAAGTGTCATACTTTACTATACAGCTGCCCAGGTTCAGGATTTGGACGATGCTATGTTCTTGGGTGACTTGCTGGCGCAACATCCCGAACCGCAAAACCGTTACCAGTGGGTGGCTCAGTCTTCCATGCAGTAGCAACACGAAAATATGAACGCCACCCGGTGATGTCTCAACTCAAACTTGGCGCAGCCTGCTTAGAGAATTAGAGAGAAGTTGAATGATTCAAATGAGTGAACCTTCGTGGACCATGTTTGCACCCCTTCACTTTCCACCTAAGATCCTAAGTTCAGTCCCCACGCCTGGTAGCATCTGGTGAGTATCTAACTGTCCAACAGGCAGTTCCTGTGTCCCATCTCGATGGACATTATGCTGGACCCAGTGGTGGTGGGTGGAAGCGGCAACACCTATGATCGAAAATCAATTGAGAAACATTTCCAGCACTGTTACTTGGCTTCCAACTTGGGGCTCCAATCATTTAGCTATTTGTTGTTCAATCACTTTCAATCAATGCTGCTGAACCATGTTCAATGGCTGCTTCAGTTTTGTTTACCTTCGGACCGTTCGGAATGACTAGATGCAACACTTCATGTGGTGCCTGCAGACTTTTATCCAGCTGGACATACGATGCAAGAAAAACGTGATTTGTATGATTACGGACGATTTATATATATATATATACAAATATAAAGTGGGTGCTGGAGGCAGACTCCAAGTTGGATCATGTTACAATGTTGGATCAGATTCGAATTACATGATATATCATCAGAAATCATAAGATGATTACCATGAATGAATTACCATTAATGACCAGTTTTGTTCCTCAGTTTTGTTCCTCTAGATCTGCCAGGACTTGCAGTTTTCGATTTTGTGACTTTCCGCCAGGTCACAGAGACCCACTGAACAACATGGAATTGCGACGTCCAGCGGATCGAAAACTGATCCCCAACAATCAGCTTCGCAGTCAGATACGTTGCCTGCTGTGAAACACAGTGCCGAATTCATGGAGACCATTTTGCTTTATCAACCCACTTATACCATTTATACCATTTATACAATGATTAATGGCTTCGCTGAGGCGTGCTATTTTGGATTTAGAACATCTTCGAACTGTCCCTGCTTTCACATGTTGCTGCCAGTTCCAGTCGCGTAACCATAGCGCACTCATCATTTGGAACCGGTGAAACTTTCAGACTGAGGAGTGCGAACGTGTACTAAGTTTCGAACATGTTCACAGTTTTGCGAGATTGGTTGGATTCCGCAAGTGTGTCTCTACTCATAACGTGGCTGAGGAGAAGCAGAAATCTCTCGAGTGCAGCTTCGGCTGTCAGCACATTTGGCCGACGCTCTCAGCAGTTAGGGGACCAGTGAGGGCCCAGGGAAAAATAGTGATTTCGTCATAGCTTGTTTGATAGTCATTGATAGTGTTGATAGACTCCGGTGCAAAGTCGGGGAGTTTCAGACATCTGGTGATATGTTTTAATTCATGATTGGGGTCCCAGAGGTGGAGTGACATGTGCACTCAATATGCGATGTATACATTGTATTTCAAATTATTTCATGCATATCATAGAACTATGTGCGATGTGCCTGATATTATGGTGTACAGTACAGTACATTCAGTACATATTATGCACAGATAAGTATCTACATGCGCTAGTTGATTAATGAAGATGTTGATGCAATTGATTATTGAATAAGTTGCCACTGCGCTGATAGTTCCTTCCAATTGACCAACGAATCCAAACGGACGAGACAAAATGGTGAGGACGCGTTCTTTCGACCAGCATCTTACTGTATTACTCTTTTGTGTTCGTGTACACACTTTGCTCTCACTATGGCTGACCGGTCGCTGTTCAACATCAACATGTTCACTGCTTGTCCAAATCACATGTTTCCCATCAGGAACAGCGAAGCTTTTCGAGTGACGCTCCGATGGCGGCGTATCTTGGATGGTGTGCTTCACTTTTGAGCCGCAACTGAGAGGTTGTACTTTCGCCATCCAGTGCCATCCGGGCCTCAGGGCCTCTGCCCTTGAGAAGCCTCTGTAGGTCAATGTAGGAACTGTTGGTGACACTCGGAAGTCCATAAACAGGACAACCTGGCGACATCTGGCGACTATGCACTGCATGACCAAATATATGACTAGGTACAGTACAATCTGTGATTTTCATTGATTGTCCACTCACAAGACGCACAACGTTATGAAACCAGTGGTAGCAAGTGATTCTAGTTGGAACAACCTTTCCAGCATCTCTTCTTTGGGGGGTAGGGTAGCTATATATATAATTAATGTTATATAATAGTATGCTGTAATACGGTATATACGATCTCGTGCTCTTCTGAAAATGGCAAGTTCTGCCACGTTGCCATTGCATGTCCACAATGTATTAATCTTGGAATGGATCAAAAGACTTGAACACTTCCAGGAGAGTTGCAGGACACAATCCTGTCCAGAGACAATCGATAGCTATCATGTGTATGGTTGTCCCCATCACTTGATACACCAAATCTTAGCAAACTAATGTAGTTTGGAATTCTGCAAATTCCCACTCTACAGGCTCTTCAGGCCAGTCATTCCACAGCCAGATTGATTGATCATTCACACCCCTTATCAGCCCTAGACAAGAGATCCTCAGCCATCATGACTCAGAATCGTCAGCCGTAGTTGAGTGTTCACCAGCGCTGAAATCGAATTACTGCACCAAGAACATTGGTTCTGAATGGATATGTAGAAAATCAGTGAAAATTGAACTTTTTGAAGCCGGTTTGGAGCTTGATATTTCCTAGTCAAGTTCTGCAAGGTTACACTGTTGTGGTTTCGAGGCAAACTTGGTGTGCAATTCCCAACCAACGTGTTTTTTGCGGCTGTTCTGTCCCATCTCATCAGCATGTCAGGAAGGTTGCGGACTGTGGGCACGCCTTGTCCACATGGCTGGCCGATGCAAAACTCCTGGTTGCTAAAGCCTGGATGTTCATAGAATATGCATGAAAGTTTTAAGGATGATGGCACCTTTTTGTGTTTACATTTGTTGCGCATGATGTTCAAGCGGCACCAAGGTCAAACATGGGTTTGCTGTGTGGTGGCATTGTTTTTGATGGTTTTGTTGATCTGAGAGAACATCCAACAAGAACGACCAGGATTTTTTCAGAAACTCGGAGAACTTACTGGCCAGTGTTGTTGTCGGCAAGCCTTTTTTGATCTTTTTTGTGGCCAGTGGGGAGGACCAGCAAGACTTGAAACATCTTGAAACGAAGATTGAGCCAAATTGGGTGAAGTTTACCCTCTGTTGATGCTGGAGCTTCGATTTTTTTGGAGCAAATCTGGGGCCAGTTGTAAGGCCGCTTTGGCCGCAGCGCTGATGACGGTGAAATGCCAGAAAGAAGCTGCTATGTGTGAATTTGCCTCGGTACTTAAATGGGGACACGGTAGAAATATCTTGAAATGGAATGAAGATGAAATTTTAGTGGATATGCAGTATCGGATAATTATCTTCAAACGAGATCTTTTATTTGAGACCATATGGACGTGGACGCCTTTTGTTTGCTTTTTCTACCTTGGCCATCCAGCATCCGCGACACCATATATATATAGTTTTTTCCAAGCTTGTGCCACTGCCAAGGCCGCACATTGTTGTCTTCCTCAACAAAATGGTCAGCAGACTGAGTTGATTGAACTACTGTGCCGCACTGTCAAACATGTCCATTGTCAAGTCAAATTTCAAGAGATTGATGGCTTAATGAGATCCAAAGGCGATTGGGGACGCTCACCGGTATAGAGCGAATGTCATTTTGGTTTGGAGTGGAACGCCAATGGAAGTAAGAGAGCCACAGAGCTGTATCGTGTAGCCTAGGCACGCCAGGTGCCTACGTAACTTCGATGAGATGAATTGCCATTTCATCATCCAGAATCCCCATTAATCACCAAATTATTCCACTATTAATAACCTATGATAATTGGTGAATGACCATCTCCATTGGTGATTTTCTATCATTTTAACTCACAGCTCCAGTCGCTGAGTTTTCAAGCTCCAGAGCCGGGCAGGACATGGTGGAAGACATGGAACTGGTTGACCTGGTCGAGCTGGAGGCGACCGTTGCCCCGAAAAAACAGGTTCAAGCTGATGTAACGGTTAGATGTATAGATTATAGATTATAAGAATATGCAATAATTGATCTGATAATTGCATATATAATCACGTTTTTTTCGTCATAGTATGTCATAGTATGTCATAGTATGATTAATAAGAAATCTAAAAGGATTTATTTCAGATAACTGCTTCATCCCATCCCTGGATGAAACATGTGGCAAGACGTGGGACTCTGCCAATATCATCAAAGATTTTGGGTGTGAAGAGGTGGCAGAGATCACCCATCACTGCACACATAAATATGACATATAAATATACACCAGGTATATTACGGTGTTTGAAATTGATTTGTAGCGTTTGCAACACCGTAATACTCAGGCATACAGAGAATAGGTACTGATTGTAGTTGGTCCCCAATGCAGTTGTAGACCAACTATGCCTCACAGATCTTGTCTGAAGTATTGCGGCTCAAGCATATCCAGCAGCGCCAAAAATGCTGAACCAGTTGTGTGCTGCTTGGACTCAATGCGATGCTTCGGATCAAATCGGTGGGTTGGTTAGGTATCGGTATAAGCGCATGGCTTCTGTCAAAAATGGAAAGGAAAATTGGAGAGCCCGTATGTGAAGCGGCTCTCTTCATGTCTCAATGTGTTTCCTTTTACTGAAGCTTTCAAACCTCAGACGTTGCAGGAGAATTGACCAAGCCCAGATGTCTGGTGATGTGGTATTCAGATGAACACTGTTTTGTCATATTTGGTCACTGTGTTCGATTCATGCGCATACTCCAGATCTATTAGCATTGTTGAGCACGTCGTGATTGAACCGCTACCATGGGGGTCGAAATCCTGGCAGAATGTCATTGAAAGATGCCAAGCGGAGTAGGATGAGTCGGGAACAGTCACTGCATCATATGCCTTCTTTCTGTCTGCTATAATAATGTATACTAATTATATATTTACAATATAATGTGTATATATATATATTATAAATATATTATATTATATTATATATTATAATGTATGCATCATATTATACTATAATATGTTATCAAACATGATCAAATGATTGAAGATTCTGAGTTCATTCCGTGAAACGAGAACTACCGCTGGCATCACCAAGGCGCGCTCGGTGCGGAGCAGCCGCCGAAGAATGAGAGGGCGGCTGATGTGGAAAGATGCTTGGCACTGCTCGCCATTGCAGAATTTCCTGTGGCCATATTCGATATATATATATATATATACTATAGATATTTGTGTACTGATATTTATCGCATGACACAACATCACCAGATATCAGCAAATATCACCAGTATCTTGGGCAAATCCAAACAGCATCTTTGGGGACATCCCAACGAAGCTGGGAAGCCTTTGCCCTGATGGCTACTACCCACTCTTGCCCGGTCAGTCATGGACAGCACATCTAAGAATAGCCAAGACTAGAGTCTTCCATTATTGAAATACGGTGCTGATACCATGGTGACTAGAGCTTCTACTCAAGTTCTGGAGTTTAGATTGATATGAATCGTGCATGGGTTTCATTGATGCATGAGAGCCGGCAATGAACCCCAAGACCCATAAGACCCTGTGTATTGAAATGACTACATGGAAATAAAATATGTAGGCACACTGAGGGTTTACATGGAAACGGATACATGCGACACGATTTGGAGGATGCTGACTGGTTGTATGCCATCGTTATTGTCGGTGGCGCTCTTTGACTCAGAATCGCGTGGGGGTAGAGTTTTACAGCCAGTAGTTGATCAAGTGCCAGGTCAGCTTCCTACTATGTATTTTGCAGATCTGCAGAGCAAGTCTGGCAACCCTGCAACAGATGAAATTGTTGGGAGGAGATTTACCCCTCAACTTGCAATGCCTCCATTTTCAAAAGTCCAATGCTCATCAAAGAAGAATGCCTAAAGCTACCTTGAGTAAGTGGCGCCAAGATCAGCCGGTTCGCAGTCTTTCCGGCTGAGGAAGGCAGTGGCTGGGTGAGAAGTGCCTTGCCAAAACTTGCTCCGCTCTGTTTGACAGTTGAGTAATCTTGAGATATCTTGAGACTGGTTCGTCTTATGGCAACTGCACAGTTGGGACGAGCGTCCAACAAGCTGCGTGATCGCGATCCCAAAGGGGACCAGGAATATCTGGTCCATCCTCAATACCGTGATCTACACTGGTCTCAGGGAATATGTAATTTGTGAATCTAATACGTGTAGCAATGCGTATGCATACTACTTTGGTTCAAAGTCTTTGTCCATCTATGCAAGTGAGGCTTCATGTAGTATATTGGAGCAAGGACATGCTAACTTATAGTGAATGAGGACCAAGACATACCAAGACTGGGCCCCTTCTTCCTGCAAAGTAGTAAGCATGATTCCTGCACTGAAAGTGGCAAACCAGCCACTTTCACTTTGAGATCCAAGGCACAGAAAGCTTGACCTGCAGGAGACAAGCCACTGATGGAGCGTTTAGTTGGGAAACGAACTCCCCTTCAGCCGCATGTGACCTTCATCTTGAGAGCCAAAGAGTTGCAAGTGGTTTGTCATCTAAGTCAATAGTCTAGCGAGACGGCAGACTATCCAACCGTTAGCCGTTAGCCTTACAGACTATACACAGGTACCATGCGTATTGCACCTGAAGAGATACATCCTTTGAACCATTTTGAACCTATTCATGACGGGTTTCAGGATTGCAGCAACATGTAGCACCCCTGACATTGTCTTGGCTGCCTGTGCGGCTGCATTGTGTTGGATGAGTTTATTTGATGTTCTCCTTGGAGACTGGACTTCATCCGGGCCCATCCGACTCTCACTCTCTGGTGAGCTTGGAAACAGCATGAAACAGCCATCAAATCCCGGTCGATCATGTTCTATCTATGTACTTGCTGGAATTCCACTGTCCATAATTTTCCACCGTTTTGATACGGCCCACGTCGTGTTACCTGGTGCCACATCCACACCTCCAGGACGACACCCCTCAAGCCGACACCGGCTGTGTGCCAAGGTGTACCCAGGCCTTGAGCGGGCTGTGGGCTTTGGCATCTCCCCCCAACAATGCCATGCGATGAGTTCATATGATTTAAACTTATCTAAACTGATTTATACACTGATTTATAAACTGATTTATAGACTGATTTATAAACTGATACATAAACTGATTGAAAACTTATTTAGAAACTGATTTATAAACTGATTTATAAACTGATTTATAGACTGATTTATAAACTGATACATAAACTGATTGAAACTGATTTAAAGTGATTTATAAACTGATACTTAAACTGATCTAAAATGATTTATAAACTGATTTATGAACTGATTAAAACTGATTTATACACTGATTTAAACTGATTTATAAACTGATTTATAAACTGATTTATAGACTGATTTATAAATAAACTGATACACAAACTGATTGAAACTGATTTAAAGTGATTTATAAACTGATACTTAAACTGATCTAAAATGATTTATAAACTGATTTATAAACTGATTAAAACTGATTTATACACTGATTTATAAACTGATTTATAGACTGATTTATAAACTGATACATAAACTGATTGAAAACTTATTTAGAAACTGATTTATAAACTGATAGTTAAACGGATTTTTACACTGATTTAAACTGATTTATAAACTGATCTAAACTGATTTATAAACTGATACTTAAACTGATCTAAAATGATTTATAAACTGATTTATGAACTGATTAAAACTGATTTATACACTGATTCAAACTGATTTATAAACTGATCTAAAACTGATTTATAAACTGATACTTAAACTGATCTAAAACTGATTTATAAACTGATTTACTGAACTGATTAAAACTGATTTATAAACTGATTTATAAACTGATTCAAACTGATTTATAATACTTATTTAAACAAACTGATAGTTAAACTAAACTGATTATAAACTGATAGTTAAACTGATTTTTACACTGATTTAAACTGATTTCTAAACTGATTTATAAACTGATTTATAAACTGATTTATAAACTGATTTATAGTCTGATTTATAAACTGATAGTTAAACTGATTGAAACTGATTTAAAGTGATTTATAAACTGATAGTTAAACTGATCTAAACTGATTTATAGGCTGATAGTTAAACTGATTTTTAAACTGATTGAAACTTATTTCAACTGATTCCAACTGACTTAAACTGATTTAAACTGACTTATAAACTGATTTATAAACTGATCTAAACTGATTTATTAACTGATTTATAAACTGATTTATAGTCTGATTTATAAACTGATAGTTAAACTGATTGAAACTGATTTAAAGTGATTTATAAACTGATAGTTAAACTGATCTAAACTGATTTATAGGCTGATAGTTAAACTGATTTTTAAACTGATTGAAACTTATTTCAACTGATTCCAACTGACTTAAACTGATTTAAACTGATTTAAACTGTTTTAAACTGATTTAAACTGATTGAAACTGATTTAAACTGATTCAAACTGATTTAAACTGATTTAAACTGATTGAAGCTGATTTATAAACGGATTTATAAACTGATTGAAACTGATTTAAACTGATTTAAACTGATTTAAACTGATTTAAACTGTTTTAAGCTGATTTAAACTGATTGAAACTGATTTAAACTGATTCAAACTGATTTAAACTGATTTAAACTGATTTAGACTGATTTAGACTGATTTAGACTGATTTAAACTGATTTCATGACATTGAACGGTATTAATGGTATGAATATATGATATATTATGGTATGTGTAGCTAACCTGGTTGTGTTCACTGTAGTCAAGGGACCCTATGGGACAAGAGGTGCTTTCAACAGTTGCTTTCGATACTCCAAAACAAGCAAACACGTACCCCAGGCTGCGCTGGATAAAGAGTCATTTTGAGAAAAAAAACATTCCATTGTACTTCAACAAATATATACATTTATATATATATATTATAATATGTATATTATTTGATTATATATATATAATTTCCGGATACTTCAAGTATCTTTTAGTATTCTGCCCACAAGTCGATCCATAGCTCTGCGCCAGGAATGCCAGCAGGATCTTCCTTCGGGAGCTGAACACGCAGCGGTATTTCGTCCTGTGCAGACACCAACAAAGGAGGGCAGGTGGTTAGTGGTGGTTACCCTCTGGTAAACTAACATAACTATGGAAAATCACCATTTTTCATGGGAAAATCCACTATTTCTATGGTCATGTTCAATAGCTATATAACAAATTACCAGAGGGTAAAGGATGTTAAAGGGAAGTCAACAATTGGTGTCTTTTGCAGCTGTCATAAATCGTGATGCGCAGTCAGATTGAAGATTTTGTTGAAGCAACCACAAAGTTTTTCTGTATTCCAGCAAGCTCGTGCAAGAGACTAAGGTATTTGTCAGTGGCACAGAACAATGGCAGCGTTCAAGTCATCATGTCCTTGGCTCAGCCATCAGTCGGAGTGGCACTGTTCAGCTCAGGGATATATTATCTCGCCATGTGTGTCTCCACAATAGTCCCGTTTGCACTTTGGGACAGAGCAACCAGAGGGCCAAGTCCAGCAAACTCTTCAAACCATCGCTTGTTTACTTTTTCTCCAGATACAGTAGGCCTCTCACCTTTTGCAACTCTGCAAAAGCGCAATCTCTTTGTGATTTATCTCAATTCATTGATCCCAGTATAGATGAGACCGATGAGTGAGTACTATCGAGGATCCATTTTCAAAGATTCACACACCTTATCCGGAAAGATCCCGGGATTCCCCAGCTTGTCAGCTAGTCGTCGTGTGACTGAGGACCCAGCAGCCCGCTTCCTTGTTTGTGACACATTTGCGAGAGGTGCGCTATACATCTTTTGACCAAGCTACCCTAAAGAGATTTGATATCTGATAGAGGAGTGCAAGATGGCCAAAGTGATTGCAGCGTGCACAGAGCAATCACTAGTATGGACAGTGTGCATGGTTGTCTTTACAAGACGTTCGAAAAAGGGGTCTCTGAGCAGACAACATCGAATTGGAGGCTGCAAATTTGTTGAATGCGGTGCCAGAATCGTGAGCGCCATGTGGTAGTGTTAGCAACGTATTTTTTTGCCATATATATACGTATATATAGTTGCTGGAGGTTTTCTGCCACTTGTGAAATCTTGCGAAATCTTGCGAAGTTGTCATCCCGGCCAAAGCAGTGAACCACCCACGCAGGAGAGATCCAAAACGCAGTCTACTGGGAGCCAAACCATGGGATTTGAGCATGAGGGCCTACCTGCATGTGGCTCATTTTTGAGAGCGCATGAGAGGTTTCTGGAAATTTTCACCAGTTACTTGCCCTGAGATTTGGGGAATGGGAAGACCAGCATCGCTTAGATCATGTCGCAGTTCAAGATATATCCCTCAGTATACGATGGTCCTGGGTTGAGCATCAGAATGCAACATCAATGACATACACTGATAGGTAAAGCATGTTTTTTCAATCGATGTCCTTCATATACAGTTATATAATATTATATAGATATACAATATAATAAACATCAATGAAAACATGTGCAGCCCGGTATCAGGTAACTCACCTCTCAGCCGAAATCCCAGCGAGTCAGGCAGCGTTTGGTGTGAAGTCACCTGCGAGGGCTCAAGGAAGGACGATTCCAATGAGTTCATTTGGCATCCGGATGCCACCCTACAGTGACTTCTTTGATCTTGGATGGGCTGAGGTTTTCATGATTTTCCTGATGATGTTCCATCATATTCCATCATATTCCTACTATGTCTAGTGGCACTGTAACTATTCCAAAGTCTAAGCAGGAATGATGATGATGATGATGATGATCATGATGATCATGATGATGATGATGTTGATGTTGAAATGTGGTGCTTGATAGATCTTGATATGTTAATTGAACTGTGGTCCAGTTGTCCTATGATTTTGGGTCATGCCAATCGCGCATATTTCCATGGTGTACGTTGCTTGTGAGGCTGTCAGTTACGTCATAATTTATATACAATAGAGCATTATATAATTATACATACCTAGGTCCACTGAAAGACGTATAAAGACATTTTATTTTTGGGCGGTTCCTGTTTTTTAATTCCTATGACACAGATTTGGCGTTGTATTTTTGCGCTTGGTGCTTTGGTGTTGCATTTGCGGTCTCAAATTATGGTCTGCTTCGTGTCTTTGGGGACCCTGTAAAAAGACATTGCAAGTTGACCCATGATGACCCATGTATAGATATATAGTGTATATTATATGTATATATAGTCTATAATATATATATATATATTTGTGTGTGTGTGCGCGTGTCATGTGTGCTGTGTGTGTATCAGGTATTTAGATGCTTGACACTACTCCCTGTTCATCTTTCTGCATTTGAATCATTTTGGATCCCATCAACCAGGCATGTGCCTAGTGGGCGGTGGCTCTATGTCGACCCCTGTGAGCCCAGCGTTGTGATGCTCCACAACTCCTGCAAGAGTCGTTGGGAGGTGCGCTGACAGGGGCTACTTGATATGAATCCAACATGGGTGCCGGTAGGTGCACCGTACTCGTAGTTTTTGGTCCAAGAAGTTCCCAATGCAAAAGACCTGGTATTTTTTCGCGCCAGTCACGACTGCTAAGAGCAAAAACTACTGATTCTACTTGTCAAATTTGTCAATGATGGTCGCAATTTTAAAGGCCACCTTTGCTCCCCATAAACTGAGAACGGCTGTGCACCCAGAGAGAGGCGATGCCAACGATCTGAGCGCAGTTGCTTGGCTGAAGCAGGCGACATCCAACAGACCCAGAGGGCTTTTCATGGGATTGTGGCAGTCACGACATCTCACGCAAGATACAACGAATAATCATGAATACTATATATACAGTATTTAATATAATATAAGAAGATATTTTAGGATATTATATAATTATATATACATACAGTAAGATCATCATACTCCTGTGTATTTGATTTTTCCATAGACATAGATATGACGCAAAAGTTCGACAATGTTCAGTTACAAGACCAGCTATGGTGACATAGCTGGAAAGAGCTCAGAAATGTGGATATTTAAGTGGTACCCAGACTGTCATCCTGAAAGACTGCTGGTATGCACCGAAAGTGCGGTGACCCCCCAAGGAAGTTTCGAGTCTCTTGACTGGAGCAGTGCTGCAGACGGACCGATGGCTTGGATGATCTTGACGGACTAAGTGGAAGTCTTGCAGATGTACCCTCTGGTTATTTAACATAGCCATGGGAAATGGCCCACATTGGCCCACTTATAGATGGTTTACCTATTCAAAATGGTGATTTTCCATGGCTATGTTAAATAACCAGATGTAAGTGTCTTGTATGCTTGATGTAAAAGTTACCCTGCAGTTCCCAATTCATGGGATTTTTTGTAGGAACCTGGATGCAACATAACTAACATAACCACTTGTCAACCTTAGTATGTTCATTCAAGTACAGATCAGACTGCAAAGCACAGCAAATTGGCCGCATGAGCGCGGCAGCTGTGCTATTTGAAGGCCAGGTTTGGCAAGATCAAGTGCAAAAAGTCAAGTTTCTTCCCCATCCGTGAAAGATTACTGGACTATGACTATATTGTCACTTTCAAGTCAAAATCCTAAGTCCCGAGTGAGTTATGTTATCAGGGCCACGAGTTTTGGCAGTTCCATAACATCTCTAGCCTTGCCACGGCTGGTAGTGCAATTTTGCGGGCTTAAGCTGCATCCTGCACTACATCTACTGTGTGTATCATTAGATGTGCGGGATGCTGGAAGAGCATTGAAATTCACTCTCCATCGCTGATATGCCCTGCTGGTCCTGCTTCTGTCCAGCTCCGACACATTCGTGAAAGTGTTTCAAGGTGGCAATTCTTCCATTGCATGTTGCGATTGTAAACCTACTCATTTGCGACATTTGGAGTCAAGTCTGAGTCAGAATATGGGCAGTTCAGCACAGATGTACAGGAATTCCTAGCCAGATGAGCCTTGCAAATGCAGAGGTTCCGTTGCGTTTAAATGCACTTGTCACTGGCTTTGCTGGGTGTATAGATCCTTCCAGCTGTAAACTGCGTATTTTTGTGGCCCCAAGCGCTAAACCTGGCTGCATGGGGTGCCCAAATCAAGTACAGAGATTTGGATTGCAACAGTTTCAAAACCTTTCCTTTTCCAGCAAAAAGATCAAAAAGTCGCAAGAAAGCTCTGCGCTTTGAAGGCGAATCGGTGGAGTCTAGACCATTGCTTTGCAGACCAGAGTGCCCTTGGAGAAGCGTTTTTCAGTCACAGCCCTCATCAATGCAGAACAAGCAGTATACAAAGTCTGTATATATGGGGTTACTATGGCTTACTTTTGCTTGGGAACCGGTGTTGGACACCTGAGATAGAGATTAGCGCATCTTTTCTGAAACGAAATGTCTGTATTTGAGGTTGATTCAATCTTGATTCGAAACCTAAGAAATTTCGGAAGTGATCATAGTGATAGACCACTAAGTGGTCGCTAATGCCATGCCGCCATCCATTGCTAGGTCCGGGAGATGCTGGACATGTACCAGTTCCCAGGCGACGACACGCGTGGAAACCTGGATCCCATGGCGGCCGGTCACCACAGGTGACGACTACCCAAGCTGGTTATGACATGAACACAGGGCGTTAAGCCATGGTTTGTTGCCATGGCCCATTTATCGAAATAGATGGTAAACACCGAACTTAATAGCATGGTGATGGCTTCCATGGCGAACTGTGAATGTCATAACCAGATGGTATTCATAGTGATTCATATTGATGATTAATATGTATGTTAATTTGAAATTATATGTATTGATTTGTTTTCTTGAAGTCGTTGACTTCTTTTTTACTCAGGACTTCTCAGGTCTCATGCAATCGTTGTGCCGAGGCCCTTCATCAAGGGCTCGGCGCTCAAAGCCTTGAACGGAGACACCGGGGACTACGGGGTGCCGGCCATCAAGCAGTGTCTCGGCTGTTCGGGACAGCTGGAAGCAGTGCATGGTTCTGACGGAGTTGAATCTCAAGATCTCCAGCATTTAGTGAATACATGCTGTATATCAACGGATATTTGGGCCCAGAGGACTCAAGGACCCAGCAAGTGCCTAATGATGTCCGATACAGAAACTGTTGAAACATGCTGCAGCGAGTGGCAATTCACAGAAAGTCTATGTGATTTTTCGTTGTAGGTATAATCCCTTCCTCCTAATACTAAACCTCCCCCCCCCCCTAATACAAAACACGGCAGGTAGTTTTTAGTATTAGGGGGGTATTTATTATTAGGGAACCAAATCGAAGTCATGTTAATTAATTAATTAAATTTCCTTATATAACGCAATTAAAATATTGCCAAAAATGGCAGTTCGAAGCTTACCCCTAATACTAAATAAAACCCTTAATACTAAAAACTATTTTTTCCGATCTCAAAATCAATTAAATTTCCTTATATAACGCAATTAAAATATTGCCAAAAATGGCAGTTCGAAGCTTACCCCTAATACTAAATTAAAACCCTTAATACTAAAAACTATTTTTTCCGATCTCAAAATCAATTAAATTTCCTTATATAACGCAATTAAAATATTGCCAAAAATGGCAGTTCGAAGCTTACCCCTAATACTAAATTAAAACCCTTAATACTAAAAACTATTTTTTCCGATCTCAAAATCAATTAAATTTCCTTATATAACGCAATTAAAATATTGCCAAAAATGGCAGTTCGAAGCTTACCCCTAATACTAAATTAAAACCCTTAATACTAAAAACTATTTTTTCCGATCTCAAAATCAATTAAATTTCCTTATATAACGCAATTAAAATATTGCCAAAAATGGCAGTTCGAAGCTTACCCCTAATTGCTAGAGTAGCCAGGCAGCTTGGAGTGAGGGATTGGGACTAGGCCCCCCTAATACTAAACACCCCGGGGTGAACTAGTTTTTAGTATTAGGGGGGAGAACCCACAAATGGTAGGTTGATTTTTAAATTGTTTTTTAAAGGGGATCAATTAAAAGTCAAATTGGCCAAACTGAAATTTTCGGAAATTGGAGATGGATGCCTGTTTTTAGTATTAGGGGGACGTTTAGTATTAGGAGGAAGGGATTATATGGGAATCTGAAACTCCAGACAGTTCCAAGCTCCAAAAAAAGTCCAGGTTGCTCCAGTTGGTTTATCTTTGAGATTTCCTCCAAGACTTTAGATTAAGGTTTCTCTGGTAGCTGGGGACTTCCCACATCTTCCCACATCTTCCCACCCGGGGCCTTACCGCCAGGTTGATGGAAGCTGTGGACAGCCACTTCCCAGATCCTGCGAGGCGCCGGTGATGGAAGCCACTCGTTCCACAGAAAATCACCATGTTGGTATATGGTTAAAATCACCATTTTTCATGGGTAAATCATATGGTAAATCATAAGGTAAATCCACTGTAACATGTGAGTTATTTACAAATGTGAAAAATGTGATTTTTAAGATTCCACAGATTTCCCCAGATTCTTTGCAGGGAGTTTGTTATGTTTGTTTAGATTCGTTTATTCATGTCCTTCTTGCTTTGCTGATGGGCCTCTTGAGACATACGCACAGGGATGTTGACAAGCCCTTCCTGATGGGCATTGAAAGTGCTGCAGCCTTAGATTGAAGCTAGCGAGAGAATGTGACCATTATTTAGGGTCAGTCATCACAGTATTTTGAAAGTTTGCGGTCTAAAAGCTGAGTGTGTTTTGAAATTATTTAGAACTAGATGCCTTTATTTATCCATGTGTTTCGCTACTTGTATACAAACTGCATCATTTGTGGAGCTCGCCGACCACCACGTGCGAGGTCATGGCCATCACAGGAAAGGGAACGGTGGCCACCGGCCGAATCGAGCGCGGGATTGCGAAGACCGGAGACACCATCGAGATCGTTGGTGTGAAGGAGGGACCACTTAGAGAAAACTTGCAGTTTACATCTTTATTTGGTATAATACTGTGGATGGAAGAAATCCTGCATCACCTTGGATGGTTGAAATCCTATGAATAATGGGATAAACCACCTATCAATTGGTGCAGGATTTCTTCCATCCACCGTATCACAAGCCACTGGATATGAATTGAGATTTGGGGTGCTAAAAGTGTATACGGACACTTTTAGGCAGCAGAGCATGGACGCTTTTTGGCAGAATGTCTTACGCAACAGCACTGATAAGGATGCAAACAAAAAAAACACGATGCCAAAAGCCAAGGTTTTGGATGTTTCTGTGAGCTAGTAGCCAAAGCAGCAATGGGCGATAGCAGTGGAGTTGAGTTGGTTGCCGCCACGTTGACTCATATATTCACAGCGGCTACATGCCTTGTTCTCCTGGCCAGACGGTGGGCTCTAGCAGTTTCGGCAGGACAAGCCAATGAAGGCCACCATTGCAGGGATCGAGATGTTTCACAAAACCCTGGATGAAGGACAGTCCGGTGACCAGTCTGCCCCTCAGAAGTTGCCCCTCAGATGTTCTGATAAAGGGCCTTGTTGCAAGCTTGTTTCACTTGTTCTGACTTGAAAGCAAAGGGCCTCTTGCAGCCAAGAAATGGAGAAGATAGATTCTTTCTGGCGTTTTGTCTACTTTTTTGTCGCAAGAGAAAGTAGATTCTCATCATTCTCCTAAGATCTGCTAAGTTCATACTATTCTGTGTGAAGTTGTTTTGACATTCAATTGGCACATACCGGCACCAAGGTGCGGTGTCATGTTGAAGGGTGTCAAAAGAAATGAGATCCAACGAGGGCAGGCCTCTGGTGATTGGATGGGTTTTTTGGGAAGCCGGGTGCATGAGAGGACCACAGGAACATGGAGAATGGATGAGAATGGATCATATGTTGCGAATGTGCAATGGCAGCCAGTGCAGACTTGATAATCTTGATAGTGTCCTCTCCAATGTCAATCACTTTCCAAACACAAAAAGCAGTCATTACCCTTGCTATGTACTTATGTCTGTAACTAGGTCCCAGTAGAGGTGGAACTGATGGATTTTGATGGTTCGATTCACTGGATATGGGAGGTGCTTTGTGCGTCGGGCACGGTGAAGACGCCGGGAGCCCTGTGGCATCCTGTGGCAGCAAGGGGCAAAGTTATTGAGATACATCATATGTCATAGCAATAAGAATCGAATAGAATCGATGAGTCCATAAGTGAGAGCATTGACAAGGCTTTGCAGGCACGAAACGTAAGATCTTAGGATGTAGTCCGACAGCATTATCCAATGTAGTCGATGAATTCAAACGCACGACATTCGCACAGATCCCACCATGACAGTAACGCATCATTCTGATCATTCTTTGAGTTTGTCCTTTGAGGATGCATATTTGTCAAGTACTGTATATCATTATATATATATATCATTTGTAGCCTCTTCTCGCAAACCAACGCTTAAACAATTCTCCATCCTTCTGTCAAATTTGATTGAAACCAATCAGACCACCTGCTCTGAAGCTGAGTGAGGTACTCAAAGTTCGATGCAGATATCTACGTCGGGTTTCTTAGGACACATGTTATCCTGTTCCAAAGTTGTACTCTGTTGCCCTAGCACACAACTAAGGCCATGCGGGGAAGTATTGCACAATCCATGCAGCGTATGATAAAAAGATTCTACTGACAACATTTGAAAACTACGAACATGCGTGATGATGTGTATATATATAGTGATGTTGCAATTTCACTGCAAGTAAGGTTCCATGGCGAAGTGACTGCAATCGATTCTCCGGCAGAGCTCTTCGCTTGTTCACCATTACACTGTACCCTCAACAGACATGGCTAGACAAGTAAGGTCCTGAAAGAGGATGAGGGAGGTCGAAAGAAACCTTTCTTCTCCAGCTACAGACCACAGGCCTGACCTGCTGCAGGATTGCAGATGAAGTCCTCAAACCATGTTGTTCGACGGTTGACTATTTTGGGATTGCTTCACAAACAGTCCTGCTCAGCATGTGTGGCTTATTCGACGAGCTTGAGCCTGTTGGCGCAACAATTCCTCTGGGTTGGATTCCACCACCTTCTGTTTTGGGTAATTATCCGTAGCATTAGGCTGTTCTAGATGATTCATAGATATCTTCTTGATTCTCATTCCTTCCAAATCACGCTTTTACAGTGCTTGGCAGTTGGTTGCCTCCACGCTACCAGGCATTCATTAGAACTGCGACCGTTACAGTGGAAGTGCAGTTGCCAGACAGCGTCTAGGCCCTAGGCCATGTGCAACATCGCAAAGTCAAAGTGTTTACAACTGCCTCATACCAAGGAAATTTGGCAGACATTCGAGATTAAAAGCCATCTCAGATCATTCAGGCATGATTCACTTCAGATTTTTTTCACCATAGAAATACTTGAAAAGGTAGCTTGTCATGGCCTTGTCATGGCTGCCATGTACTAGGGGAAATATATTTAAAAAACACCTGTAAAATCATGGATCTCTCATGGATTTCCATGGTTCAGCGATCCTTTTTTTACATCGCGGGAAGATCGGGTTCAGCGCCCAGGTTGAAATGGCCATGCCAGGCGACTCACTGTCCATTAGCCTGGCACCCGGTCGGGCCCAAGGGCGAAAGCTGTGTTGTGTGTCCAACATTGTCCAACCAGGATGCCATGAAAATTGACCAAATTCTTCGAATCGTTGAGGATTTCTCACTCTTTTTTGCAATTTTGACAATGTGGAAGCCATCCTCCAGCAAGATTTGTGAACATGAATTCCTCAGACAGCTCCAAAATAAGGAACAAATTAGAAAAATCACCAATAAAAATCAGAAAAGAAAAAACAACTCCAGACTCAAATCCACACTCAACCTTCTGTTTCCGTCGAATTCAGACTTTTGCAGCCAATTTGTTGTTGTTTTTCTCGTTTTTCTTATCTTTTTCCTGGTTGTTTTTTGTGGTGTGTTTTTTGAAATCACCACTTCTCTGGGCATTCGGTTTCATAAAGTAAGATAATGTAAGATATATTTATCTTCACAGGCAAAAAACAATGATTGACAAACTGATACGTAGACTTACACCTGTGTATGGCACATTGATGCAAACAATCTAGAAGTTTCTTCAATCAAGTCTCCATAGGAGCCAATTTGCAGGCCTCAACACAGAGAAGCCCATGGCTTTGGAGGAGGGGTCGGCAACCTCAGCGCCGAAATATGATTGAAGCATAAAGTATGTTCTGGTCCTGCCACTGCTCACAACAACGGGCACACCATAGTCACCTTTGCATTTTACGCGAAACCTTACCACGGAAGCAAGATGAAGCCTCATGAATTCCAGAAAGATAGTGTAAGACAGTAAGACATCTTTTCAATTAACATCAATTAACATCAATTAACATCAATTAACATTGGATTTCTATGGATTTCTTCAGGTCACAGTGCTCAGAAAATTCCGGCGTCGTTGAGTCGTTGAGGCTTCGCTTCGCTCTGCGCGAAGGTGGTCTCACGGTTGGTCCGGGAGCCCTGTGCACGGAGCGGTGCTGTAATTAAAGGTTGAAGAATTTGGTGACGGCGACATCCAAACACGGCAGGTACAAATTGGTAAAAGATGCGTCCACATAATTCTACATATTGAGTGTTCATAATTGTTCATACTACATTCTGGCCTGGAGGCTTCTTTGATGTATTTCAATGTATTTCATGCATAAATGGAGCCAAATGAGTATTCTACAGCAACGGAGAGACTTGAAGAAATTATGACGGTTTCATGATGTTTTTTGTTTTTGCTTCCCTCACTGCCTGAATGTTTGGCAAATTGAAATCCCTGGATTTGGATCGTTTTCAGTCCCGAACACGGACGTGTTGGGTTTGACATTGACATGTTGAGTCTCAGACCTTCACACGACTTTCCATGAGAGTGGCACATGCTGAGGTTCAGGTATCATTACCAAGTGCCACTGAAGGCCATCTTTGCGGGCGGAATGCACGTCCCCAATGAAGCAGGAAAAGACCAGAAGTTTTTGAGCCTATGGTGGACCGCACTGGTGTCAGTCCAGTAAGACTTCCCTTTTTAATTGATTTAATTATTTGAAATCAGCCAAAGCTATCCAAAGCTTATATATCAAGTGGAACATTGGATGGTAGAATAGCATGGAAGAGAAAACTCAACAGTTTAGTTTAGCCTTGTTCGTTTTCAGTTTGCAAGTCGTTTGTTGCTGCCACAAAGTCAAAGGGTGATTCAAGTATAAGTTGGTCGATTCCGAAAAAACTCAGAAGCTATTCAAGCTATTGAGAACCCCAAAATTCATTGTTCCATGCACACTAATACGTTGGCATGAGGGTAGGATGAAGTCCGAACTCACATTATGAGATGTCCCAATGCATTGCTCCCTGGCAGGTGACAACTCTGCCGTGGCCCGGCCTCTTGCTGATGGGTTGTCAAGCCAAAACGATCCAAAACGCCAATTCAAGGGGAGCGCACATCGAGGAAGCTTCTTTACCTGGACTGCTTAGAATAGATTGAAGAAAGTGAGGAGGAATAGATTCCCAGCATTTCCGAGCCACCTGCATCAAAATATCTTCATGTTTGTATGAGTTTAAGCGTTGGATTTACCAGATAATTGATGCAGCATTTGGGTTTAGATGCCACACTTCAAGTTTCTTCAGACTTGCAAGGCTATGAACTTTAAAAGCTTTTTAGGGCAGCGCTAGTGAAGTTCATCGGGAAATTATTCAGGAAATTAATCATGAGAATTTAAACATATTTCAAATTTCAAGTAAATGACAGAAGGTGTCTTGACAACCCGGGCATGATGCAATGTCATCTCGCGTCGAGCCGTCATCTCGCGTCGAGAGTCACTGGATTGCAATTCATTTCCCTCAAACTGAGCTCTGATGATGAGTGTTTTAGAAGATTGGTTCAACCGACAATTTGTAGTTTGGTGGAAGATGCCAATGCATAATGATCGTGATGAAGCGCAATCCTGGCCATGTCGGCAGTCATGCCCTTTGACAGTCACGGCTCACCGTGCTGGCGCGAATCGCGGGAAGCAGCACCGAGTCTTGACAGTCAAGCCTCCGTGTTGGGGCAGATTGAGGGACTATGCCCTCTTTTTCAGGTGGTGGAACATCATGGAAGGAAATGCCCCGGCTCTCTAGTTTGACATCTTTAGGAAAACTAGTTCATATAAATTAATAGTCATAGGCCATACCATATGTAAGAGTGTAATTGTATATAAAAATAGAAAAGATAATTCAAGTTAATTCAATATATATATATATATGTGTTTTCTGTTTGGATATTGAATGAACTATCTTAATATCGATGGTTTCTGATTTTCATCAAAAATGTGCAGCGACGAACCCACTTAAATAATTTTATGCCAAAAATACGATTGAGAAAAAATGTTATATAAATATTTATATTAAGTATATTTTTTTTGTGATTAAATGTGGCTGTATTTTTTTTTTAACGCGTGCCGTTTTTAGTACAGGCAGGAAGTTCGATTTGTGCGAATCATACCCCCGAATCATACCCCGAATCATACCCCCGAATCATACCCCAAAAAATCACGATTATGAATGTTTCTTGTGGGAGCGTTTGGGATTGCATTGGCCTCACTAGTTATAATGGACCTGACAAGCTAACTGACCAGTGTTGGCCAGACCCGATGATCCCTGGCTACCTTCACATACCTTCACGGAGTGGCGAATCTTCTCCACGCGCACAGAGTCTCATCATTATCCCTAAGCTGGCTGGCTCTGGGTGGCTGGCTGGCTGGCTGGCTAGGTGGCTGGCTCAGTTGCTGCTGCTGGTTGGGTGGCTGGCTATAGGGCTGGCTAGTTGCAGCTGGCTGGCTGCGTGGCTGGCTGCTTGCTGTATTGCTGATGAGGCTGATGAGGGGGATGACTCTGGCTGCGGCTGGCTGGCTGGCTGGCTGGCAACCAAACCAAAACTCCGTCCAAGAGGAACATAAGCCTAAGCGTACCTGAGCTAAAGGTACATGAGAAGAACATCCAGAAGAGACGCCGGCAGGCCGGCGGATATAAATCATAGATGCCGGCGGATATAAATCATAGATGTGCATTGAGGTCTTCATATTCTTCATATTTAGGTCCTGTCCAAGGTCGTCTGGCAGGTCGAGCTATTGTAGCCATTGACAAAGTAGTAATCGTAGTAGGTTGACGGTGGGAAAAAGATACTCAAGCAACAAGCTTCCTGAATTTAAAAAAAGATGGGTTTCCGGATCATGCCCCGAATCATACCCGAATCATACCTCAAATTTCCTAATTCTGAACCTTGGTACATTTGTAAGATTAGAATTTGTATTTTGTGAGCTTTTTTCTTTGTAATCATTCGCTACGGGCTACACTACACTACACCTCCTGGTGTTTCTAAGAAAAATCCGACAATAGCACCCTGCAGCGGCATCCTGCAATGGCACCAACATGCCAACTCCAAAGCGGACACACCACTTTAATTGCAGTACCTTGAAGTAGCACCCTGTAGCGGCACCACCAGCCAGCTCCAGAGCAGACACGCTACTTTAACAGCTGCACTTTGTAACGTGCAGGAGCACCCTTTACTAGCACCCTTGCAGAACGAATTCGGTACAATACGTACCCTCCTTGCAGTACCCTGAAGCACACCCCATTATAGCAGCACTAGCACGCTAGCTCGACAGCACCCTCATGTAGCACCTTCCACTCGCATCCGCTCACCAGCATGCCCGCTCCAAAGCAGGGTTTACAGCACACATCACTCTGACAGCAGCACCTTCAATTATTACCCTCAGGCAACACCTGCAGAAGCACCCTGAGCGCCACCAGCATCGCTCCAAACTGTACACACCACTCTGACAG